TCATCCAGGGCGCATCGGTACATGTGGATGCCCCTAAGCCCTGGAGTAACGGAATGCCCACGTATCCTGCCATCCGCACCTCCGAGGGTCCGGAGTGGCCCTCTACGCGGGCCAGCCGCTGAGGGAAACCTGGCACAGGCTTCCCTTCAAAACCACCCAAGGCTGGGGTCAACCAATTTGGATATCGAGTTTTCTTGTGGGACCGAGGGTTTCCCAAATGATGCGTCGCCTGATCAGATGTTCGAAGGATCCTTCAAATATGAGATGGCAGATTTGATTCCAATCGCAAGAACCATTTTCGCAACCTATAGGGTTGCAGGTTGCGGAGGCTTCCGGCATAAGGATCTTGGGGCTGGAAAATGATTGCCACCTTCCGCGATACCCAAATACCCAAATGGATGCCCACATTGGCCTCCGTCAAGGAATTTGCTCGGTGTTTCTCCTCACAGGGAAGAGCGAGTCTTCTTGCTGGCAAGGGTCCTGGGTTCAAGAAACAGCAAATACATCTTATCAGGAAAACCCAATGCACTTCTGGTTGTTTCTCTCTCCAAGCATCCACCATTCTCGAACGGCAGCGCTTTCCCGCAGGCGTCTCCCACTGTGATCTCTCCCAGCCACACATTGGCTCGCCCTAGCCTGAAACAAACAAACATTCGCTCTGTTGAAATGGCTGTTCAAAAGCAACCAAAAGGAAGGCAAACATTTTCCAAAGCCCCTATAATGCTATGGCTGTGGGAATGGGACCTGAGTGGGCTTTCTGAACTTTGATTTGAGTTCACCTGCCGTGCTGGCAAAATTACGGGCGTCAGCCGCTGTCTTTTTAGATGTGTATCTTAAATGCGCCTTGTACGTGTAATCACAACTCACAGTGGCACCATTCACACCGAACTCATTCGGAGTGCAAACGCCTCGGCACGTGCGAGAGATCCGACGGGATGTGCCCGCGCCTCTGAGACCCAGTGCTTTTGCACGCGCAAAGAGCACGCCCAAAGCCCCCTTGACGATGTCCTCCGAATGTGCGAGGCTGGCAATACAAAGTGTCTCCTCAAAATGTCCTGGTTTGCATCTCATTTCAGCTGACAAAACAGTGCCAACTTGCTGTCCTATGGCTCGCGGAGGTCTCGGATAACTTGCAAGGCCCTGGTACCATTTTGGAGGGGATCTGGATCCATCAATCCACCAGGCTTCTGAATCCAAGGCTGACACGGCCTTCAAAAAGTAACCAGCAGGGTTTGTCTCAGGACCCCCAAATGAAGGATTTCAATTTAAAGCACAAAGGGTACTTGCAAAAGTCACCATGATCACACACCCAGTATATGTTTTTCAATGTTGCCAATCCTGTATGGGTAAACCAATGGAACCCGTCGACCCCATGCCAAAGCGCTGAGGCCCCCGCGTAGCCCATGACCACCGCGGGGTCGGTGGCGCGCACTAAGTCCACCACGGCTTCAAAGATGGCCAGCTCTGAATCCATCTCCTGACCAATCAACCCCCAACGAGTTCAGCCGATGATGTATCTACATATGGGGTATCATGCAACTCGCTCTCGGTATATACATATGTGGCTATGTTTGTATATAGACATACATAAAATGATATACATGTGTATATATATATGTATACATATGTGCTCAGAATTGCACGCAAGGCAAATGTGTTTGTATATATGTATATATATACGTTATATATAGCTATGCATGCATGCTTGCATGCATGCATGCATGCAGGTAGGTATGTATGTATGTATGAATGTATGTATGTATTTATGTGTGCGAATGTATGTATGTATGTATGTATGTATGTATGTATGTAGGTATGAATGTATGCATGTATGTATGTATGTATCTATACGTGTATGTGCGTATGCATGTATGCATGCATGCATGCATGTCTGTCTGTCTATCTGTCTGTCTGTATGTATGCATGTATGCATGCATGCATGCATGTATCACTGTATATTCGATGAATGCACGCATGTATGTATGCATGTATGTATGTATGCATGTGTATCCGCATGTGTATGTGTATATGCATGTTCATGTTTGTGTACGTGTATGTGTATAATGGATAAGTATGTGTATAATATAAGTTTATGTAGGTATGTATATGTATGTGTATGTGTATGTGTACGTGTAGGTGTAGGTGTATGCATGTATGTATGCATGCACGCATGTATGTATGTGTGTGTATGTATGTATGTACGTACGTACGTAAGTATGTATGTCTGTATGTCTGTATGTCTGTATGTCTGTATGTCTGTATGTATGTATGTATGTATGTATGTGTGGTATGTGTGTGTATCTGAATGTATAAATGTATGTGTGTGTATGTATGTAGGTGTGTGTGTATGTATATGTATGTATGCACGCAGGCAGGCATTCAGGCATGTATGTATGTATGTATGTGTGCATGTATGTTTGTTTGTATGTAAGGTATGTATGTGTATGTAGGTGCGTCTGTCTGTAGGTAGGTAGGTAGGCAGGTAGGTATTTAGGTAGGTAGGTATATACAAGTGTATGTGTGTATCAGCGTACGTTTGTATGAGTGCGTATGTGTCTATGTGCGTATGCATGCATGCATGCAAACACGTACGTATACATCAATACATATGTACATGCGGATATGTCTATGTGCAAATGATTATACAAATGTATGCACATATGTATGCCGCATGAGTATAGGTGTATACAAAGGTATATACATACACAAATATACTTGTATATATATATATACATACAAAGCCAAGGACCCCCTGACTTCTGCCTGCCTCCTGCCGGCCGGGTGATCTTTGTGCTTGGGGGAGGGGGGGGGGAGAAATCCAGACATAGAGGCGTCCTGGACAGGCACGCGCACACGCAGTCATCATCGACAGAAGGCGGGCAACAGAAGACGGAGTTTTGCCTCGCCTGGACGGCTGGTGGAGTCAGCCAAAGCGGAACCTTGAGGGGGTCAAAGCATGTTGCCACACAAGAACGGATTGGGGTCGGAGACGGCTGTCTATATATATTTATATATACATACATATGTGCTATACTTATATATATATGCCATATTATACATATATGTATTTATGTTCCAGGCCGTGGGCCCTCCCTCCTTGGGTTGGTTTCGGGTTGGTTTACGGTGGGTTTAGGGTTAGTTTAGGGTTGGTTTGGTGAGGGTTGGTTTACGTTTACGGTGGGTTTAGTGTGGGTTTAGGGTGGGTTTCGAGTCGGCTTAGGGTTGGTTTAGGCTTGAGTTAGGGTTGGCTTAGGGTTAAGGTTAAGGGTTAGGGGTGGTGGTTGGGGTTGAGGGTTGTTTATGGGTTGAGTTGTCCTACGTGTCGGAATGCAAGGATGCGATGGGGCTCGAGGAGGGCCTAAATAAAGTTCAGGGGGAAAAATCAGGGTCAGGAAAAGTATAGAATTTGTTTAGTATTGGGCTCTGTTTTTCCTTCTTTTTTTTCCCCCCGAATACTACTTTAGAATTCGGCCAATTCTAAAGTAGTATTGGCATGTTGTTTTTCCTTATTTTGCTTTGGGGGGAATACTAGTTTAGAATTAGGCTAATTCTAAAGTAGTATTGGGCCAAGAACTTTTGCATCATTGGGAACCAGCTTAGCTTTACTTAAAGTCAGGAATTACTTAGTGCATGAGGCTTCCTGGGGGGTAGCCTTGCTGGCAGGGTCAAGTTGTGCTGTTGAGGGTTTCTGGATAAAGAATTTGATGAAGGGAATCACTCAATAACTTTGGGGTCTGATGGAATTGGAATCAAGATTTATGATGAGCCAGCTTGAATGGAAAGCTTGCCCCTGAAAAAAATACAGGATCAGAGGATTTGGATTTTTTTGGGGAACACACTTAGCTTTATTCACGGGGTAGTTTACTAATCGCAGGTGGACATTACCCTTGGGGGGGGGGGTTTGGTGGCCTGGGGACTGGAACAAATATTACATGGCTAGCCATATGCATACGGTCATTTGCATTTTCCAGTCGTCTGTAATCGTTCTTGTGTTGGTGTTTGTGACTGATGCAAAACCTCTGACCCTCTGGGCTGGGGGGTTCCGCTGGTTGCACAAATATGGATGTTATCAGTGTTTCTCGCGTTCCGCAGACTGTGCAGAACAACACTGACTTGTTTTGCATGTTTAACAAAGCTATATATAATATATATATATATACAACAATTTGGCCAGACTTTGCTGCTCTTCCTGAAACTTACAGCTACATTTAACATGCCAAACAGTGCAAAGGTGCAAAGCAAACAGAAACACATGACTGAGAAAACTGAACAATTCAAACACTGGGAAGCTGCAGACCATGATGAAAAAACAAAACGACACGGGAAACCCGCTAAGCAAAACTAGCACCCAATGCAAACACGGGGGAAAACCACAACACCGCCTCGCCTGCACAGACACGTGGGCGCCAAGTTGAGGAGCGGGCGCCTTGCAAATCACGCCCAAGGCGTCCTGCCAATCGAATCCTGGTTCTCACTTCTGCAACCAAAAACAACTTCCAAATGGCTGTAAGGTGGAAGCCACTTGGGTGTCTTGAAACATGGGCCCCACAGAATGGGTGGGTGTCCTGTTGGTTTCTGTTTAAGCTAACCCAACAAAGGTTTGAAAGAAACACCCAGGTGCCGGTGAAATGGGAATTGGGCAAAAAAAAGGATTTGGGCAAAACGCAGAATGGCTGAGAGCACACTTGTCAATCGATGACCAAGGAAACCCGCACCCAACAAAAGCACAACAGCAACGCACACCTAGCAGCTAATCATTAATCAGAAACCAGTTGTGCAGGGATATTGTTACACCTCGCAGATACCACGGACATCAATTTCAAGCGAGACCCTTCATTACAGGTTATTATCCTGCTTTCAGTTCAATTCAGACCCTAGTTGCTGCTTAGGTTGCTGATAGCCTTGAGAGTCTTGAGGTGAGCTATCCATAGATTGTGTGCAGCCACACGACTCTCTCGGAATCACCGCCGGACCCACTGGACTTCTTTAACCTTGCCATGGGCCTGAGTGAGACACAACTTCACCGGTGAGCTAATGAATGGCAATCCATGCCAAACAACATTGTTTCTGACTTGAGCAACCTCAACGAACTGCACGGAGTTCAATTAAATTACAGCTCCAATGTCCTTGCAATTCGTCCGAGAACCCTTACCCTGACATAGCGCAAAGCCCTGGCCAAACAAACGCAACGAAACACAACAAAACAGGACAAAACAGACCAAGAAAAAGACAGAAGAAACAAAAAACAAACAAACAAACAAACAAACAAACAAACAAACAAACAAACAAACAAACAAACAAACAAACAAACAAACAAACACACAAACAAACAAACAAACAAACAAAAACAAACAAATAAACAAACAAACAAATAAAAAACACAAATAAACAAACAAGCAAACAAGCAAACAGGCAACACACAAAGAATCAAGCAAACACAAAAAACAAACAAACAAACAAACAAACAAACAAACAAACAAACAAATGACACAGACAAACACAAACACACAGACACGCAAAGACACACACACACAAAACACACACACAACCCAACACACACACAACCCCACACACACACACAAACACAAACACAACCAACCAAACAAACCAAACAAACAAGCACAAACAACATGTATAAGCAACACATAACGCACAAATGCAGGCACACACGAGCAAACAGCCATACACACAAGCAAACAAACAAACGGACAACCAAACAAACAAACAAACAAACACAGGCACACACGCAAACACACACACACACACAAACTAGCAAAGAAACAACAAACAACAAAAGGCACAAAGAAGGAAGGAAGGAAGGAAGGAAGGAAGGAAGGAAGGAAGGAAGGAAGGAAGGAAGGAAGGAAGGAAGGAAGGAAGGAAGGAAGGAAGGAAGGAAGGAAGGAAGGAAGGAAGGAAGGAAGGAAGGAAGGAAGGAAGGAAGGAAGCAAGGAAGGGAGGGAGGGAGGGAGGGAAGGGAGGGAAGGAAGGAAGGAAGGAAGGAAGGAAGGAAGGGAGGGAGAGAGGGAGGGCAGGAAGGAAGGAAGGAAGGAAGGAAGGAAGAAGGAAGGAAGGGAAGGGAAGGGAAGGGACGGGACGGGAAGGGAAGGAAGGATTGAAGGAAGGAAGGAAGGAAGGAAGGAAGGAAAGAAGCAAGGAGGGAGGGAGGGAGGGAGGCAAGGAGGCAAGGAGAGAAACAAATAACGAACGACCAAAAGAAAGAAAGAAAGAAAGAAAGAAAGAAAGAAAGAAAGAAATACAGAAAGACATAAAGAGAAAAAACAAAAGAAGGAATACATAAATAGATCAATAAATAAAGACAGAACGACAGAACAAAATGACTAAATACCATAAATACATAAAACAAATGAGGATACAAACGATTAATACACAAACAAGCTGAAGGAATTCACTGGCAACTAGCAGACCGCTACACAATGTGTCCATTCAAGATGCGATCTAAGCCGGCTGCACAAGCCACCAAGAAAACACTGCAAGCCAGGCTCGCAATTCTCCCGAACGGAGGGCCCTCTCCAGGACAAAGCGGACAAGAACATCAGCTAGTTTCTGATTCAACATGGGTACGTGCATTTGGTGCAATGGTGTTTGTTTCTTCTGCAGCAATCGCAATGTAACACCTGTTCAACCGTTCGTTCCTGGAAGCCGCCGGTGCATGCCATCTTGTACAGTCCTCATAGGAGGCTTCGCCAGCCGAGTCTGCAAGCAGACTGCGCACCCATTCCTTGGCACCCAAACGACACCCTCCTTTATCACCTGACACCATGGGTACATGGGAGGGCAATATGGAGCTCACTGGTGGAACATCCTTTTCATCCGAGTTGCCCTCACCTCTTCGCCCCAAAAGGGATCAAACAATATTCATGTGTTCAGCAAAACACTTGTGTGTCATTGAACATCGGGTACCCCAAAAACAGAAGGGCCGGTCATGTCGTTCACCTTCCGGAAGTTGAGGAACGAAGAGACGAAGGGATGTAGGAAGGAGACAGGCCGCTCTTCCTCTTAATCCCGAGCGGAGAGAGGTCAAGGATTTCATGTCCCATTTCCCTTAGTCTCTTTCCTTGCAGTCAAGGTTAGGGAAATGATAGCCTTCTTTTCATCTCGGTTCCATCCTCATGTCTGACCTGTCGATGAACGAAGGAGAAGAGAAAGGAAAGACATGGCCCGGCTATTCCATCTTTAACCGCCGGGACATAGGAATGACACAGGATGGAAAGGAGTGTGGAATGACGTGCCATCTCTCTTCATTCGCTTCCTTCGTCTATTCGTTTCCTCTTTCCTCACTCTCTCATTCATTGCTTCACCGAAAGGCACGGCAGGGCAGTGAGTGGGATCCCTTCTCTCGCCTATGTCCCTTCTATCTTCATTGGTTGAGGACTGGACGCACGAAGGCGGGAAGGAGGAAAGAGATGGAATGCTGTCCACTGTCAAGCCTGGAATGAAGATAGAAGGAAAAGGCTTAACAAATATCTCCGGGAAAAAGGATCTGTAAGTGAAAAAGCATTAGAAAGTAAAAGGAACAAGGAATGACAAGATATGCCAGGTAATCCTATCTCCATCTCTCGCTTACCATTGAAGGTTAGTTAATTTCTGAGATTTCTATCTTCTACATTCATTTTCTTCATCCTAATCTGTCTCTAGGACATTGACTCATTCCCTGATGTAGAGAATTGGATGTTGAAGAAGGAAATCTCAGAAATTAACCACGCTTCAATGGTAAGCGAGAGATGGAGATAGGATTACCTGGCATATCTTGCATGGGGCCTGCGTTTTGGCAAAGCAGTAAAACACTAAAAAACCTCGAGAAAACCAAAAAAACAAAAAAAATGCAGACCCCATGGCTGGGCAGTCCAAGCTTGGGGACATAGGGCTTGCAATTTTGTTTTTGTTGGTTTTGTTGGTTTCCTCGAGGTTTGTTGCACTTTTCCAGAAAACCAAAAAACACCTCGAGAAAACCAAAAACAAAGAGAGCTTTGCTTGTTCATCCTGGGTGCAACATGTCTTAAAATCACAACTAGATCATTATTTCTTCTGCTGTGAAGGTCAAATGTCCTGCAAGTCCTAAAACAGATGCTTTCACAACTCCAGGCCCCATGCCCGGCCGCTCTCCCCAAAAATGGGTGGTTTCCCTTTCGTCTCCCTTTGAAAGAACCCCCATAAAGTGTACCCTAAACAAAATACAAGCCGACAGGGATCTCAGCCCTCCACATCGCGGAGGCAGTAAGCAACTGCGCCAATTTCCGATGCACTCTGCAGCCTCACGGCGATTGTGCAAGCAGTATTTCAGCATGGCAGGTGCAATGGAAATCAGACCCTTGCGCTGCCTGGATGTCGCCCAGATCTCAAGTCAACCTTCTTGACTAGATGATACTCAATGCCTTAGTTTATACATTATTTATTATGGATTTTTTTACAAGATCGCGGGGGTCTTCTGACAAGGGAGCAAGTACTCTTCAGGACTCACCACCTTGCTGAGACAAGCAATCAGGCCTTATGGCTGCTGCATGGCTCCCGTACTTCAGATCCCCTTGTTGATTTCATTGTCCAACTGCAGCTGCACAGCGGATATCTTGAAAGTAATCGCTGGTGGCTCAGATTCACATTAACTCCACCACAAATTGCCTGCCTTATCTATTACTTGAAATGAAGACACTGCAAGCCTGAAGCTGGCAGATCGATTAACATTTAGATAGATAAAACTCAGCGCTACCATAGATCTACTGTACAAACTGATTCTGGCCTTCGCATAAAACAACATGTCGAGATGTTGTGCAAGGACAACCAATAACATCCTTGTCGAACTACTGGCGCCTCTGACACTAGATATTACCAGCACTATGCGCCGTGGTCAAAGCTTCGCGGTTTTAAGGGGATTCATGGTCTCAATCGGAAGGGTCATTCCGCCATCAAAGCCTTGGCCACCCTCCCTCCGGAGAGAAGTTCAATACGCAGATCTCAAGAGGAACCCCTTTTCGGGCTCGACCATGCGTAGGCGAAGCCACCTAAAGAACAGCTGGGAATCACATCACACGCTGAGGTCTCAACTCAGTCGGCAGCTCCAAAACCTCCCAAAGCAGAGAGTGCGCCAAAGAAGCGTAGCCAACCTGCCTTCAAGAATAACCAAACACTTGTCCTGGAAGGCATCTGATGGCTTTTCGGCTTCCGGAGTGAGCAGTGGCAAAGAAGACACATTGCGAAAATCAATCAACCTGTGGGCTTGCTCCATGAACCACGGTCAGAACTACTTGTAGCGAGCCCCCTGTTGCTTTTTGCGGGGAACCCAAATGCTGGACATTTTGGACCAGACCTTCCATAAGCCATCGCAGAGGCCAGCTTCTGGAAGGTCCCGTCAATCCCTCATCCCTCGCCAACCCCGCATAAGATTTGGGTTGGGACCATCCACAATACACCGTACTAAGAGGAGTGGGGGGAGGGGTGTGACAGACTAGCTGCTAGTCAAAACAGGACACGAAACATTTGCCCGATATAGTCGGGATGAGTTGGAGAGGGGTGCATGTTCAACCGCAGCTTGCTTCAAGGACTGTTGTCATGCAAACCCGAGGGTGTATCTCACGGCTGCAAACTGCACAGGGTAATAAGGCTCCCAGTAAACTGGTGGATTACTATTTCCGGTTGGTACACCCCGAAGGGACCAGACATTACTTAGCCCATGATTTGTGGGTCTTGATCAACAAGCGCAGGAGCGTACCTGGCTCATCTTAACCCGGTCAATCTGAGAACACCCAGATGATAAAGGGGCATCAACTGCCATTCAGGTGTGCGTCACAATTGGGCTCCAGCTGGTTGTCTTTTCACTTCCCTTTAAACACCAACCCAAAGAGGCTCATTTCAGAAAATTTGACTTGGGTCGTTTGGAGTTTGTACCCCTCAGATCAAACGGGTAACCTCCAGAAAAGGACACGCAAGTTCTATTTCCCAGTCGCAACCCCGCCTCCAGCACCAAAAGCCTCCCAAAGAGCACCGGAGCTTCAGCGGCTTGCCGCAAAGGTCGCACAGGCGCCGGGGTGGGCGGTGTCACCTGCAAGGCTTTTGGCTGAGGTTTAAACATCACCTCTTGGGACAGTAAATAAAAAATGATCGCGTGCTTGAAGGGAAAATATAGGCACCCTGTGCCAAATGACACCGGAGTTTCCAAACATGACATTTTTGACAAACTCCGTTTAGAGGAGGTGCCGTGCGATCCTTTGTTCCTGAAATGTTGTGATCGCTGAATCAAACGCGGTTCATGTTTGTTGGCAAAGTCCGGACAACACGCGCGCGCACACACACACACACACCTTAAGTTGGTGCATACTTTGGATGACTACTGGGTTCTAACAAATGGGTTCTAGGCCGCCGTGCCATGTCAGTCAATGCGGTCACACGGCGACGCAACAGCGATTCTCAGGATGCTTACTTTGGCACTGGGGAAGAAACACGCACTTGCCCAGTAGCGATGGCGAAAAAACACCCTTTTTGTTGTTGGCTTTTGCTACAAAGAATCCCACCCCAAAAAGTGTCCACAAGCTGGAGACCGGGTTTTGCATTCTCTGGTGCATTCTGGCAAACGATTCAATTTGCTATCAGGGTGCCATGGATGGATGCCATTCCCCTCCCCTCTTTGCACCTCCCTGATGCCTTCAACGAATGCCCCTTGCCTGCGACAGAGATGCCCGCCGAATCTTCGCCAAACCTGTCGCGCAATCCGCCGGCTGGAGGCCAAATGGCTCAATCAATGGTTTTTGCACGCAAAAACACACAAGCAAAAAACAGTCCGGCAGCAACTATTCACGCACGCAGAAATACTCTTGATGTATGGACAAAGGTCACCGACCCACATACTTTTTCTATGAATAACTTGTGTACTAGTCTTAGCGTATGTCGAGACTGAGTGTACGTATGTGTGATCTGTACAAGTTCTTATATAATATATATATATATATATATTGAAATAGAAGTCATGATATTCAAATCGTGCATATATAGATAAATATATGTACTGTGTATATATGTATACTGTGTGCACGATCTACAAAGGATGTGTTTGAGCATGCTGGACTTACAAGGGCTCGAACCACATGTGGGCTTAGCCCAAAGCACAAACGCCTGCGGACAGATGGTAGATTCACTTTCAAGATGCGGCCACAGAGTTCGTCATGGAAGATGATGTGACGCAGCCGATCCTGATGAAGCTTGACCGGGACCTGTACATCAGCATCCACGTAGATGACTTGCTCATTGTTGGAACCGAAGGGAAGTTTTTGAGCGTGAGAATTGGAAACGCTGCGCTGTGGGGACGCGACCTAATGCGCCTAACGCAAAGTCGGCGCTCAGTAGCAGTAGGACTGTTCCCAGATCAAACAAAGAAGGAGGGGCAATGGTAGGATTCCATGGCTACACTTGGCTGCTTGTGAAGGAATGAACAGGATGCGATCACGGAATGAATGGTATCCCTGGCCCCAATCAGAACAACTTCCTGCAAGGGCCGCTCAGGCACCCAGACCCTGAACTTCTCTCAGCGCCGCTCAACCCAGAAAACACTTGGGGGTTGAGAGCGTTGGGTGGGGTAAGAACACTTTTTCGACTTGGAGAAGCGGCTAGGCATGCGAAACTGTTCGGAATTGAAAGTTCGAGCGTGCTGCAGTGAATGGCGACTTGCTTGAGTAGGTTCCTTGGCTGGGTTGGGAACGTTGGATGGCGTTGAGATGTGGTGAGAACGTTGGCTGGGGTTGCGAACAGTCGAAGGGGGGGTTGAGAACGTTGTGTGGGCTGAGAACGAGCGAAGGGGTTGAGAATGTTGGTTGGGGTTGAGAACGCTGGATGGGGCAGAGCGCGTCAGCTGGGGCTGAGAGCGCTGTCCGCATGAAAACGGTTGTAAGTTAGTTGGAAGCGTAAACGCTGCTTGTGCGAACCCAACAGCTCATCACCAGGACCAAGAGCGGCTAATTGAGAGACTTTCCCATGGCCTAAGACACAGGAGACCCTTAGCTGTTGTTGGCGGGTTTTCTCTTCACCACGAACAAGAACACACACCTCGCACCACGCAAGCCAGCATGGTGAGTGCAAAACAGCCTTCTGCAAGAGCCGAACAGCCCCCTGAAAGGAATATCGCTGCAGTGTGCAGATCAAGCTCTTCACAGAAAGTGCTTGAAAATTAATCTAAGAGAACGATAGTGGCATTGAGAACCTGTTCCGAACCTGAGCATGAATAGCCGTGAACACTTCATAGCCTAAGCTTGCTTGATACTCACAACGGCCTATGGAAAAAAGCTAGGTCCTGACTCCTGACCCAGTTCACAAGAAATAGAACACCGCTTCAAGAGCAGACTCATTCAAAGGCCTGTTTCCTTTCGCGAGAGCAATTTCAAGCTCTCCATGGATTTCTCAGCACTACAAGTTGGGCCTTTGCGCTGTACTCCAAAACCCACAGGGATCATAACTGTAGCTGCAGCTCGCTTCATAGGCGCAAGAAGAGGACACCAAAGTAGCCAAGCACCGAAGTGACACAAAGAAAAAGGGCCCCTGCACCAGTATGAGCGATGGCCTTTTCAGCATCCTGCAGGCCGACACAGCCAGACCCGAACCTCAACCCAACTCGGCCCCGTGAAGCCATCTTCCCACAATAGTGGCCAACAAAAAAGCCGTTCACACACATCAAATGACACGTCATTCGGTTCCAACGCACGTTGCTTGGATCACTCCCTGGGTTCTGGCCTGGGCCCTCGGTGTTTTTCCGGCGCAGGGTGGTCAAACGGCCTGGCGAGCCGAAAGAGACGAAGCTGGAAAGGGGATGTCTATGGGGCAAGGAAGCGGATTGGAGAGGTCGCACTAAGCCTTTGAACAAGAGTCCACGCAGTTGGGAAGTGGTTTGCCTGTGAATTCCGGTAAGGCCAAGGATATCAAAGAACAGGGAGATGGATCGGAAGGAACTTACACATCTTGAGGCAGCATCACGCTGCATCTTCCCACTGTTGCAAACATCGAGACTGAAAGAGATGGCACATCATTCTGCCACCCAAGTGAATCAACATGCACGTATTAGATCATCTTGTGCGACATGACACGCGTCTCTGGGCTGTTCACGCTGGATGGTTGGCCAATGCCACGGAAGGGCTGGCCAATGCCAATCCAATCCCTGTTAAGAAAAACACTAACAAAGGATCCCACCCCGATTCGAGAGGCAAGGAACGATTGGATTGCCTATAAAAGTCCTGCAAATGCTCAGCACCCAATAACATGGCTCGATCACTGCTCACTAAGGCCTGCGTTGTCGAAGCGGGTGATGACGTCGCCTGCATCAGGCATCTGGGCTTAAGCTCGATAGGCATTTTTGTCCATCGTTTTGGAGGGTGGTTAAGATGTGAACCCAAGGGCCATTTCAATGAGTGTCTCCATTGGGAATTGTTCCATTCAACAATGCACTTGTGGAGCCTCGCGTTCGGTTGCTGCAAGTGGACCCGTGGGACCCATAGATGAGGTTCCTCTTGTTTTGGATCCCTCTTTTCAGGTTAATACTTTTTTGAGCTTGAGAAGTTCACATAGACGTTGTTAGCTTTCCAAAGGGTCCGCAAACGAAACGTTGTTTCGACCCCTAAGGCTGAGCCGTTTTACCCCAGGTGAGGCGATTCCGCATAAATTTGGGGAAATAGACTCTGACAGAGCTTCCGACTGTTTCGGCACCGGGTGGGCTGAAGCTCAAACAAAGGTACAAGGGATCCATAGTTCACAGGCGCTCCTTCTCGGCCCCATCATGGCACTTGTCAGCCTTTTTGTTCAATGCAAACTGGCTCGTTCGAGATGCCTCAAGTCCAAAGGTTTCATCATGCCCCAGACGCGGCAAGCTGCGCCTTCCTCCTCCTCGCCGCTCTTCGGCAAACATTGCTGCGACACCTTTCGAGAAGCGGGGGCAAACACACAGATCGCTCACCAGCTGGGTGCGTCGTTTTGCAACTCGTCATGGGCACTCAAAGGATACATCCAGCAAGCGCCTGCTTTACAAAAGCCTCCTCGACGTCAAGTGGCCTTAAGTAATCCTTTTCACTGGCCCCAAACGTATCTTTCCTTGGGGGCTCATTATGAAGGGTTGTTCTCCCAAGACACCAAAGGGGAACCACCATGCTGGGGCTTTCCAAGTTTCAGACAGACCCTGCCAGGGAATCAAGTCGTCGGCACATACTTTGGCTGTTGTCAAACTCTGACTTTGCTACTATGGGCATTTGATGAATCTATGTCTTTCCATGCTCTAACACCCTTGAACTGGCCAGCTGGATTTGGCTTGACCCCATATAAAGTGTTTCATCTGATTGAACATACCGGGTTCTGCGAACAAAAAACGCCCATCTACTCTCAGCCAATTATCTGCCCCTCGCGCCTCCCGCGCCCCCAACTTCAATGTTAAGGAATTGCTGTGATGTCTGAAGCCAGATTTTTTTAAAATGTTTTTTTCCGCAGGCTTTGTTAGTACGGGCCACATCCAACTTTGAAGTTGGGGGGTAAGGGGGTCAGCATCACAATGGATTTGGGGGGATGGGTGTTTTTCTTTTTTCCCCCGCAGAGCCCGGTATGGGGATTCATTTATAATTGTTGCACCTTAGGTGGACATTAGAAACTCGTGGGAATTCATGTCCATCCACCAACAATTTTGCCGGAAGTGTTGCCCAGAAAACCAAAGCAACATGCACACCCATATAATATGGGGCTCTCTACTGCAAAACTCAATCACTGCAGCTACAACAGCGATGCCGAGGCCTCGTACTTGGGCGGTGCTTGCCAGTACTCCCAGATTCCAGCCTGCCAAAAACCCCTTGCAACCCTATCGAAAACTCGGGTCACAAGCTTCCATGAGCTTCACGCACTTCCCAAGGCTCTCCTGTACCATGTCCAACCCCAATCTGACCACGTCGCATCATCTGGAATCCGGAAAAGATCTGGAAAGGAAAAAAATCATTCACGGTCAGGCTTCCCCCCTGCAGCTTGGATCGGTGTTTTGTTTTTGTGTATTTGCACAAATCCCTTTTCAGAGTCTTGTCTCACCGAAGGGCGATGGGCCGCTCCAAACACCACTGCCTCAATCTCAACAGCATGGTTTGGAACCGTTCAAAGAGGGTTGCTCCGTTCGACCCTAGGGTATGTGGTAGAGGGAAACTAGAGGAACCTTTCACCAATTTTCTAGGTCCCAGTTCAAAGGCTCCAGGACCCCCAGTCGTGTTCCATACTGGGAGGTTTGAAATCTGGGGCACCGAAATGAGAAAATAGGTAGGAGCAAAATCTCAAAAGCCCACCGAAGAGTGGGTCCCGACTCCAAACAAGTACACCAACAGCCACCCCCCCTCCTGACCTGCTCCAGAACCAGCTCCTTGGGCAAATCTTCGGGCCTCAAAGATCTCTCTAGCCGGAAGGGACGATATTATATGATATAACTATGGCTTTTCAAAATAAGGGGACCCCCAAACGGTGATTTTCCTTTGGTTAAACCAACCCTACAAAGGGTAGCCTCAAAAATACGCACCTATACGAATGATTTATTCCCATGGTTGTCAGGGAAAGAGACCCCTTAGAAAGAGACCCCTTAGAAAAGGAATCTTGTTAGCCCCTAATAGGCCCTTTCCAGTCGCTATTAGCCCCGATTCGGATTGGGGGGCTTTGACAACCATAGATGTAACCTGATTGTTGTCCTGATGCTGGACTGGCACTTCTCATTTTGAAGGAGCTGATATAAGGATTTGTCACCAATCAGCTCAGCGCCTGATTCAAAAGGAGTGACGCACTGAATGACAAACTGGCGGACTGAAATTACGTTTCAGTCAACCAATCAAGAAATTCTGCATTGACACTATATGTGGCAATTCGGGGGACTCCTCGTGGGTGGCCTCATGTTTAAATTGCCCTCAAACGAACCAGACAGGAGTCCCTACATGTAGTTATGCCACGCACCCATGTGAGCAAATTCTAATAGTCCAATCTAAAATGCGGAAGGGGGCCCTGCAGGAGACTTCATGGATGTAGCAAGCCAACACACTTCACATTTGCATCGATCGCTTTCTTTGCTCAGACCGACGAAGGCTGGCCATATTTTCTAGCAAGCGCCTCGTTTTAGGGGCACCAAAGAAAGGCCGCTCCAACGTGGGCCTCTCAACATCGGGAACCCATTTTGGCCGTTGAAGGGAAACCGCCCGGTTTTGTGGGGCGCCAAACTTTGAGGCCGGCCATAACATGACCAGCTCCTGTGGTCCGTGCTCAGAGTAAAAGCCCTTGGCCGGGGGGAGCGGCTCACCTGCCCAGATGCCAGCCGTGGCCCGGTTGGCTTTGGTTGTTGTGCTCTCCAGCCCGAGAACCTTGGGTTGTGAAAAGAGCGACTGAGAAGAACAAGCAACCAAAGCCAATCGAAGTCAAGTAGTTGAAGCCTAAGGCGGACATCTTCGTGGGTCTTTCCAAAAAATAATTAGGGTACCCCAGAACGGTTGATAGTCTTTGAGAACCAACCAAAGGCTCCTCACTTTGTGGTGGCTTCAGAGACCACCAATTATTTCTTGAAGGAGATCCTCCTTAAAGTTCACGGCCACTTGAGCAGTCTGCGATTGAAGCATGGACCATAGGGAGTACACCAGCACCGACCAGCACCGTGTGAAACTGCGGCAAAGTTCTACTTACGTTTCATCTTAATCGTCCAACAGGGGGAGGTTTCGCCCGTTTGGGGAGGGTTCACCAGCATTTTCCAAACCCATCCGCAAACACCCAGCATATTTTAATCCCAATCGGTTGCTCGTCTAACCAGTCTCTTCACATGCCACACTCGCAGTGAACTCTGAAGCTCCCAAGAGCCAAGCACCGCCACAGGCCTTGAGGGACGTCGCCTGTCCGGCCTTCATTGCCAGCTCCTGTCTGTCAGCAAATGGGACATGTCTTGCAGCTGGGACCGTTGGAGTGCCTTAAAACGGCCCCAAATGGCCAAAAAGATCCAAGGGGCCAAACCGGTCCACAGGCTTTTTGAGCGCCAAACGCTCAAGCGCCTTTCAGTAACCTTGATGCCGCATCGCCCAGACCGCCTGCAGGTTCTTCTACTTGGCGTTCGTTGAGATCTGGAAACAGGTCTGCCTTGGCGAATTCCAGAATTCAAGAATGCACGAAAACGACATGGGCTTATCTAGAACATGGGAGCTCCCTCAAAATGGGTGGCGTCCGCTCGGTTTCCTTGGAAAAAAAAGCCGAAACAGGGGTTGCCTCAAAAACGGCACGCTCAAGCTGAAGCGCTGATCAGTTGCCATGACGTTAGGACCAAGCAGGCTCACATGCAGCTCCTAAAGCCTGGAATCCAACTCTACGTCGAGGTCGCCCAATCTCGGCTCATGCTCAGCGCGCTGCTGGCTTCAAAGGCGACCACCCCTCTGGCCTAAGCAGCAACTGTACATGACATGAGTTGTTTCCCGTGACCAATGCCGGTAATTCAGCCGATTTCGCTGGAAATGATCGCTATCCGTGCTTCGACATGGCCGCAACATGACCCTTCAAGGGAACCAAAGTGACTCCCACCCATTAGTATCACAAACAATAGGCTCCTCAAAACCATGTCCCACACGTCACGCATGTGTGCTCGACTCTCGTTGCCCAAGGCCGAACTGCTCATGGCCCTTTAAAATATATGTCACCTCAGCTCAACCAAACAAACAAGCTTGATTCTGGTCCATATTTGTTGAACCCCAAAATAAGTTCAAAAGAGATCTTAAGAGTTCAATCTGGTCAAACAAACGGTACACATGTGAAATTAGGGGACCCAACACCTTGTAGTCTTCCTGCTGGCTTCTCTTCACACCATGATTAAAAGGGTTCCTCAAAAAAACACACACACACACACACACACACACACACACACACACACACACACACACACACACACACACACACACACACACACACACACACACACACACACACACACACACACACACACACACACACACACACACACACACACACACACACACACACACACACACACACACACACACACACACACACACACACACACACACACACACACACACACACACACACACACACACACACACACACACACACACACACACACACACACACACACACACACACACACACACACACACACACACACACACACACACACACACACACACACACACACACACACACACACACACACACACACACCACTGTGCTAAGATTTCGGCAGCACATCCACCTGGCTCCACCAAGTGCCAGTGGAGTGAACAACTGCTGCCATCTGAAGAACAACACATTTCACTGCACATGAAAGGCCAGGGGCCAAAACATCAACCAGCCAAACAAGGGACACACCCTCATTTACCATGGCCATGGGCCATTGGGTAAGAGTCAAACAGTGCTAGTACTAGTACCCAATACCCAAATCAAGTAATCAGTCGCCAAAACGGATTGATACTTGACGGCTCCTGGCCTGCGTTGTGGAGATATCAAGCTGCGTCGGCGCGCAAACATCGTTGCCATTGTTGCCTGGCCTTGGGATGCGAAGGCAAGGTGCTGTGCGAGAAGCACATAAGCCATCAGTTGGTTGTCCACGGCTTTGAAAAGGGTGCCACACAAAAAGAAACCAAAACGAGTTTGCTACGAGTACAGTGCCAATAGAATAGGGCACACATCATCTGGGCGATGGTCAACTTGCATTTTCTTTGCAGTCTTTCGCCTTGCACAAACCACCCGGGAACGTGGCCTGGTCTTAACTGGCGACCGTGCTTCTTTGGTCCCCAGCCCGTTGTTTGGAGCCCACAACCAAGAGGGAAATGGCGTGTCGACATTCAGGTTGCAGGGTGGAAGAACGAACGGGTCTCAACATCGCATTCCCTGCTTCAGATCCCAGCGCGTCCGCATCCTCATCGATCTCTGTAGATCCACAGGCGCTGTCTGGCTCTGTCAAGGCGTCCTCCTGTGCAACCCACTTGCAAACCAATGACCAAGCAGTGGTTGCATATACAACCACTATACATCATAATCATATGAGTAAAAGGTATGATTTACTTTTTGTGTTAATCCCATGCTCGGTCGGGAAGCCGCCAAACAAAGAGGAATTCTACGGAATCTGCTGAACGAGGCAACAACTGACTTCTGAACCCACTTTGGGCTGTGAGCGTTTTTGGAATCGCATGATGCCTTTTCTGAGAACTCTTTAATTGCGTTGAGCAAAACTGTGTGAACAAAAAAACAATCACATGAGCTGTCTTCCTGTTGCTGTGTTTTGCCAGGGATATGTTCCAGTACCCGCAAAATCAAATCACTGAGCGCGCTACAGAATTGGGTGGAATGTGTACCCATCCCCTTTGGCATGCTTTTGACGTTGCAAAAAATCTAGCAGCATCTGGGCAAATTAGCATGCAGCAGGGGCCCTACAGTTTGGGGTTGTGGTTGGTACTTTAGAGCAAGTTGAGCCATCATTGGATAATGTTGGGTGTGCTCCCCCACAGATTAACACGAACCCACCCAAAACCACCATATAGAGAAAACTCCTTTCGGGGGACCCTTCCTTTTGGGTTCCATGCAAGTGTGTAGGGGCGTAGTCATGTCGCCCCGTAGCCGGGAATGAGGGAATCCGGGGACCCAGTCCTCGGCTTCCTCACAAAGGTCGTAGCCTCGCGGAATTCGGAAGCGCATGAATGGACAAGCAGGAGTGACGTGTACTCCGGATGGGTGCACTCAAAATGGCCACGGACCAACAAACCAAAAACGACTGCTACTACCACTACCACTACTACCACTACGACTACTACTACGACTACAACTACGACTACGACTACGAAACTACAACTACCACTACGCGAACAGAATCATGATGTATGAGCATGTCATATTATATGGTGTCATATGGCCAACAAGCTGATATGGTTCGCGATATAATTGGTGTACAACTTTGGATGGACAAATCAGTCAAGTTCGAGTGCATGTTTCCTTGCGAGTCGTACATCTCGCCATTCTGCAAAGTGTTCACGAATTGTTACACGGTTTGGAAGTCAACACCGCAAAATCTCTATCCATCCCTTAAATCACCTTGACAAGGCCTCAATTGCTTCCTTATTTTGCGGAGACCAAGAGACTTGCAAAGGGCAAGTGCAAGGGATTCTCGGGGAAACAGGGAGTGCCTTTTGGGGGGTCAGTCTTCTTCTTCTTTCGCAGGATGCTCATCTTTACAAGGAACAACTATCCACCATAGAGGTCAAGATAACACCTCGGTGACTGTTGTTGGCGACCCCTTTTTGCGGCTTCGAGGGGAGCCAAGGGAATGCCGAAGCCCGTTGTTCTCTTAAGACAAACCCAAATACTGCACTAACAGGCCTGCGCATCAAATCTGCTAATGACTCCGTGTTGGAAAAAGGGCAACCTACTGGGCATAATGGTACCAAAGTCACGCCGCAAGTGGTCGGCTCAGGGGACACAACCCCGAACAAAATGATAGACCCTAAACCACAAAAACGCCAGCGCTCGCCCAGGGTGTCCTCCGTCCAGCAAGGCCGCAGTGGCGCTGTTCGCTGGGGGCGGCCTAGAAGCGGAGGTCCCGAATGCATCAAACAGAAAATTGACAAAACCAGTGGCATGGAAGGGGTTGCAACTAAGAATCGTGTAGGCATGGCTTCAACCATGGATTTTCTTCCGAATTGATGCAATTTGGATAGAAGGTACCCCTCATTGACTTACATTCAACAGTTGGCTGGTATTCAGCTTTCAGGCCCTCACTAACCGCACCTGGTAATTACTCGGGTAGCATGCCGTCCCCTGCAAATTAGGTTGAGGAACCACCCAAAACAAGTCAGAAAGTGGGAGGCGTCACTAGGCTCGCAGCAACCTCTGCGATAAGGCAACCTCAGCAGAGGCCAATGAATCTGCCCGGGTGCTACATCGGGTGTCGAAGAAAAACCTACCATGCCCCAGATTGGCTTCCCTTTGAGTAAATCAAACAGTGGGCTATTTGGCTCCCAGCTGCCTTTCAGCGGCCGGACGGAAGTACTTCCGTCCGGATGCAAGACAGCACAGATCTTGGAGCTTGTGGTGTCATGTAGGGATAAGAGGTCAAGCGCAAGCTCATACACGTTCATGAGCTAGCATAAGTTCGCACTCCCAGAACCTAATTCGATCAAACTAAAATCGAATCTGCACCAAGCCGTTGGGAAAGCTTGATTGTGGTACTTGAAGTGCGCAAAACAGGCATCAAACACATCACGATGTAGCCCAACATCAGAGATCTTTATGGTCACAAACCTCCACGTCTTTCCCCGAGTTTCAGCGGATTGGCCGATCGGCCTCCAAGCCTTGCACCGCCTCAAGGAACTTGGGAGAAACCTGCGCCCAACTGTCGAATCGCGCGCTGGATCTAGGTCCGATGTCTGATGCGTCATTAAGCATGGTTCTCCATAATTGGGCAAAGACCCGCCGGTCTGGTCAAGGACTTCGCTCATCAGAACTCTGACCTTCATTTGCTGGGCCCTTTATCAGCTTGTTGTTGAATCCCAACCACTGAATACCAATCCGCTCCTGTACCATTTAAATGTATGGTCCGCATTGTTGGTGCACCCTGCTCCGAAACCGACACGAGTGGTCATCAACTATCAAAAAACACTTCCCCTCCCAACATCTTGACGCCTCCATCTTATCAAACCCGTGACATCCCACTTCCTCCCCCGTCGTGCCTTCTCCCTCGATGCCTACACCGTGGAGCGCGCCGTGTTGGCAACATGTGGGGAATCTGCTCTTTCTCACTTAGTGCAACCAGTGACCGAGGCAGACGAAGGAAATCATTTCGTTTTGGGGTTGACCATTTTTACTGGGCAACCAATCAAACAATAAGGGGAAAAGACAGCCACTGAACAAGGAAACCCAAGATGGACAATCGCTCGGTACATTCCCCGTGCGATGGCTCGTGATTTGCGCCTGATCTGCCAGATTCTCAACAAACTCTCAGTTTCAGGTTTTTGCTGCGTCCCAGATCTCAACAAAGGCAACACATGCCTGGCATTTGGCAATGTTTCATACTCACTGCTTCAACCCAGAGCTAGTGGCCATGGTCTCCACGGGCACCCTTTTTGTTGCTGGTTCATGTCAAAGGGAACCCCCCAAAGAAATATTTCAGCAAACGGCTGCGCTGGAGGTCTGATTTAATTTGCCACTGTTCCGCGGCAGATTTCATCGGATCCAACAAGAACCACCAGGACCTGGAGTCTTTCGTTCCCACCCCTTGCCTCGCACTCTTGGCTCCATACTCCATTGTCCACCTGTGTTGGCAACGCTGAGAAAGCAACGCTCAACATCAACGCGTTGAACTTCAAATTGGGCATGACATTGCACTCAAGTATAAATCCGCCCATTTGTTCCACCAAACAAACAGGTAAACAGGGTTGTCACTAAACAACTCATCTGCGAGATCTCCCAAGATTCCGAAATATCGTCAATCTGCAGCAAATGCAACCCACCTGAGCTCGCTTGGCGGGAGAGGGTGAGCTCGTCTGAATTCCGACCGCAGACCTGCCTGCAAATCCGGTCGGCCCGCTTGGCAACAGCTGCATCCCCCACAAGGCTATCTTCCTAAACCACTTGCCCAACTGGAAAGATTTCGAAAAATGGACCCTTGTGCCCTTGAGGGTCCATTTTATTCGACCCTCCGATTTCAGGGTGTTTCTCTTCGATTTGTTGGGTACCAGCCATTCCAATTCCCCATTATCTGAGCTCCCCGACAATGGTTGGTGTATGTTAGTTTCCTTGTGTTTCTCTTTAATACCGCCAAAAGAGAATTCCCGAAAAAGGCATTTCCGATATAACATGCACGGGATGGTCCCTTTATTGCAGAGTTGCTGATGACGTACATCACTTGGGGGGTAGAAGGACAGTTCGGCAGCCTCAAATACGGGTTCCGCGCGAACAGAACCTTCCTGCTAACCAAAATCTCACGATTTGCAGACAGTGCCAAGAACAAGGGTGTTAAAGGGAGGGTATGGAGAAATCAGGGGGACATGCCCATTCCCTTGTGGCTTCATTTTGGATTCCGTTCAAGAGCATCATCACCAGGGGTCGGGCGCCACATTCTTGTGAAACCGCATGCATCATCCACCCGTCACTCGCATGACTCGCTGCCTTGAGCCATGAGCTGCTGCATCATGCACTCCTCCATGATGTCCGGCGTGAGTTCTGGGCGCCCCAGCGCCAGCACACCGGCACGGGGGCGAGTGGCACGAGCAAAAAACGATCTTGCAGCACCAAAAGCTCAAGTACTTGTTGTTGGGCTTTCCACTTGCGTTAGGTGTCGGGGTCTTTCGCACACGAAAGCAAAGGCCCTCTTGCACACGGCCCTTAGAAATCACCAACCGCCAGATTGACCACCAAAACCCACAAACTTGTAACTTGGAACGAGCTCGGAGCCTGCCCTGCCATCGCCAGGTGCCTCGGCGTTGGGTCCCATTTTCAGCAGTAAAAGTAGATAGCACCATCCCGCCAATGCGGGCAAGCAAAGGGGATGCTTAAACCAAACTCAGGGGATTGAGCTATCTGCTTTCGATCACCCATCTTTCAGGATGGGGCCCCAAGCGAAGCAATGGGGATTTCCCAACTTGATCAATGGACTGGCGGGTTCCGATACTATTGAAACATGGACACCACTTTGGACTGGTCCCCAGAAACTGGGGGTGTACTCCAACCTCTTGGGCACCTGTGGTAACTGGAATCGCTGGGAATGTTCAAGGGACCGTTCAGGGCAATCCTGGTTAAGGAGCGAAAGGGACAAACTGGTGGCATGTCTTACCATTCTCAAAGTCAGCCAAGTTGCAGGTCCAAGAACTTGGGCTTTAAAACGAAACTCACTTGAGCGGACCGGACTTTCGCCCAACTCCAAGTGGCCCAGAACCCCAAGTCGCTCCAACTCGAAGAGTGACGACAGTTGCCATCCTGGGCCACCGGGCCCCCGGCTCCGGCGCGGGCTCCGAGCCCCAGGGCACCGTCAGGCCCAGGGCTCGGCAAGTGGGCGACTTTGTGTCGGCGACCGTCCCGGGCTTTGGGAAACGCAAGGATTTTTTGAGGAAACCCTGTAAGATTGTTCAAGAAGGGGTCAAGCACTCGCTGTTGGCCAGTGTGACTCAGGTCTCGGGGTGAAATGACATGGAAAGTGTTGTGATGCAAACAGGGGGCTTGGCAAGCTGAAGCCGACATCTTCATCACAGCCCTCTTGCGCGATGAGTGTTTGGGAGGTGGCAGGAGATGTTCTGCGGCTTCTGGAAAACGGGTGCTCTCATGGGGACTGACTCAGTAATCTGAACGTGTTCCAGGAACTTGCAAATGATGCTCCCTCTCCAGTAGGTGATAGACCTGGGTGCATTACACAATTCCCCCAAAACAACCTCTCACAACGAAAAGAGCCTTCAAGCCTTCTTTGCGAGCGAGCTCGCTATTCCTTACCCAGAAACATGAGGGGAGCATGTGAATGTGTGTGTGTGTGTGTTTCTTTCGTGGGTGCCTTTTTTCGGCGGTGTGAAGGGGACATCTATAGTGAAATAATGCAGTTTCGGGAACTCCATATTTGGACGCAAAACCTGATGGATGTAAGATTCGGACACCAAGTCCCAACCTTGGATTGGAATAAAACATCCCGCCTGCACACCTGCGCTCTTCATCCCGCCACAGCTCCCGAAGTGTTTCCTTGGATCGCACGCATGTTGGCGACAAGTGGCATAATCTGGCTCAGGTTCATATGTTCGTGCATTCTTTGATGTGCTAAATTGTGTTTAGCAAGCCCATTGTGGCACCTCCCAGGGAGACTCGGACATTCAAGCATCCCGTCAGCATGAGTGACTTTTGCAGGAGAGCGGGGCGAGAAGCCAACGTTCAAGTGATGGAGTTTGTAAAGCTGCCCGGCGCATCGCCAGTCAATGGGTTGCCTTCTTGTTTGTCTCAGTCGCTTCGCGTACCGCTTGTGTTCTCCTATTTGGGGCGACCTCAACGCCTGATACATCGCATGTGTGAAGGTGGGCTCTGAAGCAGGGCCCTGTTGGACTGGCAGAAACATCTAACTCGGGAACCAACACGCTTCCCCTACTAGGTGTCTGAAACACCAGGCTGCCTTCAAATGGGTTTCCCTCCAAATAAAATGGGCGGCGACTCCATTCTAGTTTCTACCAAGAAAGGTCAACCTCAAGAACAACAAACGCACCCGAGTGGGAGACTCTTAAAGCGATGAAAAACCTTCTTAAGTCTCTCGAACGAAACATCCAATCACGTGTAAAAGGCAACCGATGCCCAGCTGGTTCATTCCCGGATTTTCCAGAAACCGTGCCCAGCCCCCATCTAACCACAGGCTAGATCATGCGGGTTGCCAACAAAAGGAACTCCTCTTGCATAGAGTTTAAGGAAAAGCCCCGCCCACCTGAAAGGCTTGCGTGTGGGTGGCTAAATGAGTTTCGCTGTTGCAGCCCCACATGGTGGCTGCTTAGCTGCTATCAGTACCGGGACCATGGACAGCAGTGGTCTCTGAACACACTGCGGCCGGGGGGTATAGACCCACCAGCTAACATGGAAGTGCAAAGATTCCTGTAGAACACAACTTTCCTCTTCGATGTTGGTTGGTTGGGAGGGTCTAGATCCATCCCGGCCCATGGCTTCGCTCAAAACCCCTCAACACGACAGGACTGAGCCGCGCGGCGCAGATCCAGCCGCGCGTGCGCTCCTGCACCGACCGCCCGCCACAGGTCTCGGCCGAAGCCGACGCGCTGGCCGTGGCGGCGGCGGGCGCCAGAAGGTCCTCGGGCTGAAGGAGTCGAAATGCGTCGATGTGGTTTCGAAAAAACGGCAAAAGGAAAACCTAAATTACTAAAGATTCGCTTCAGATTTCACCCATTTCCCCTAAAGTTTTGCGCATCTAAAGGTACAGCTAGAAGGATGAAGAAACAATGGTCCATTGAACTAGCCCATCCAAAGATGCAAAAGTGTTGCGGATTCTAAAAGGAAGGCCATGACCGGGAGATCCGTATGTAACTACTACTGTACACATAGTTTGCTCTTATCATTATCATGAATGGTTTGGCTTCAAAGTACTCCACAACCCCTTTCCAATTATTCAGGCCTCATAGCATGAACCCTAATTGGGCACCATTTGGGGCACATCAGAAGTAAACGTGTGACGGCCCAACAGACCCGTTGTTGGCCACAGAGCATTGTCCCCTTTGGTGGCCCTCATGATGCCTAACCAAGTGCTTGTCCCCATGAAACCTTTGTCGACCCGAAACAGATGCAGATGCCAGCGCAAGGGACCCAAAAAATGGACAGCTCAATGCGGTCCGAACCAAAGCTGGGGCTTCAGTTGAAGTCCGGCCAGAGTTTCCGTTGACTTTGCGAGCCCTCTGAAGGCGATGGCCTTCTGTTGATGTCCTCAAATACTTGAATAGCGACTTGAACAGGACCGCGAATGGCACATAGTGATGCCCTGGCGTGTGGATCTGACAATGAAAGCAACAACTCCGACAGTACACAAGCGGAGCAAACAATCTTCAAGAACACATGCGCACTCCCGGCATGTGTAACCACTCATGATAAGTATCTTGGGAACATAAGAGCAACGCTTTGGCAGTCATTGAGGCGCTGGCAGCGGCGCGGCAATCCACTTCAACCTTAGCTGCTGGAACAGCTTTCAACACCGAGCTCCATTTAACCCATGTTGGGGCGTAAGGCAACTTCCTCAAAATTATGGTTGTCCTGGATTGCTGAGCAGCGGGTGATAATAGCATGGTCATTGACTCATGGTACCTTTCGAATGATCCTTGCCTTTCAGTAGCTTTCTCGGCGGAATATTATCATCAACCGAGATTGTACGTGAAAGACCGCCAGGAACTTGCTATGCTGTTTCTGGTTCGACCCATCCGGGGTGCAAGAAAATTCACCAAAGCAACTCCCATTTCCCCTCCTAGGCTTCTACGTTCTAAATCTGGGGCGAAAACTGCCAGCTGTTTGTCTGAACACCACGCATCAAGAGGGCAAACAGGGAGGCAAACCACGCAAAAACCAGGGCAACACCATGAGAAACAGGAGGCCCTTCTGTCAACACAGCGGAAGACGCCCTTCTGTCAACACAGCGGAAGACGACATCCACCAGCTGGCTCTATGATCAGTGCCGCAAAGCCACAAGTTCTTGGGACAGCACATTTTGGCCAAAGCCCAAATCAGCGGTGTCTCAAATGAAGCATTGACGCATGGCAACTTGCCCGGTACACCTGTTGGTTTCCTTACCAACCGCGGTACCAGTCAAAACTGTGTCAAATTCATCCACCCTGCGCGGAGTCACCCGTTGGGTTCAAGAAATTCCCACCCGCCCGCCTGAGGCTCAGACGTCACAGCTCGACACTTTGGGGTGCACCGACTGCGGCCTGCGCAAACCAACAACGAAGGAAGCATCAAGGGCTCTCACACACGCCACACGCGCCCACACACGCACAGTTTGACGCCAATTCCCGGGCGCCCCTCAATACTGAACTAGACTTGGGCCAATACTTAACCAATGCGAGACCAACGCATTTCCCGCCCAAACACGTGCAATTGCGAATTGACATCAGTGCCTCGAGTGACTCCATTTCATTTTATTTCCAATGCTCGCTTGGTGACTTACGGTTTCAATACTTCTCGAGCCTCGCAAAGGGAAGGCTACACTTGGATGATCGAAGCAGAGCCCCCTGCACTCTTTGAGTCACTTGGCTGCAACTTCGCCCCTTTTCAACAGAAGCCCCTTGCAATGAATTCAACCTGAATGCTCGAAACAGAGACGTGTTGCTGGACTCCTTGAGGCCTCGTACGAAAGAAGCTCTCAAGGGGCCCAAGCCTCTAACTTTTCTTAAAGCCAATCTGAAGCCAACTACCCAACGGAAGTGAATAAAGTTCCAACAAGGACCATGACTCCCAATTTCTGAGGACCCCTTCGCTCGACAAGAACCAAAAGCCCTCGCCATCTCCGGGAATTCATATCAACTGGGAACTTGGTGCACATGGGATTCCTGCTCCACCAACCATGCAACCATCTTGGTTCATAACCAATGGGGATTGAAGCGATCCAGCGCCATGGACCAGCCTGCGGGGATCTGACCACCAGGGCGTGCCCTGGCCGCGCAGCAAGCGCTTGGCTCCGCCCCGGCCCAGCCTGGGGCGTGAAGCGAACTCCGAGGGCTCCACATGGGAGTTTCAAAATGGACCAACGGTGGACCCCCTTCTGGTTGCTTAAAGGGATTGCCCCAGCATTCAATTCGGGTTTCATCCATCCAGGAGGTCCTGGAGTGCGTCCATCCACAGTGCAGTATGGATGTGAATATTGATTGGGCCTTTGCACATCATTTAGGTCATGTCCAACCACTCTTGAGGTGGTCGCCCATTCAAACTCAGAGCCAATATATGCTTCATTATGCTTCAACCATCGCCTTTTGGGCCAATACGCGAAATCTGCCAGACTTGATTAAATTTGGGAAACAACGTATTTGCTGAACACGCAGGGCTTCACAAGCCGTCAGACCATCCCCGCAACAATGCTTCACATCAGACGTGACATGTCGACCTATCAAACCGTCGCCTACGCGACTGTCTACGTGAGGCTTCACAGCACGAGCCTCCGCGAAATGCCTACGCGTGCCTACGCGGTTGTTGTGACCCTGTCAGTCAAATTTCAAATGCCTACACAACATGTAGAAAATATCGCCACGAAGATGTGGGCCTTCATCCCTAAGCAAAAACGCAGCAAGAACACCCCATTTCCCAATTGCAATTTGGTGAGTGTGACCCATGTCGTCCCTTCACTACATCAGCTTCCCTCCAATCGATGGTTTTTTGATTGGAATGGAGGTGCTCCAGGGGTGGTGTTCCTTTCACCCTGTACAAGAACCAGTGGTTCCAATCCACCAATCCGAACCACCAGCTAAGGGGTCAGTAGATGCCGGTATTCACAGTTTGTGGGTCAAAAATCGGCTAACCCACAAATGGCTTGTTTTGTTGAGGGTCAGAAATAGGCTAACCCACAAATGGAACTCTGTTCATTGGAAAGGACTAAAACCTGGGGTCCAATTCCTGGTGTCCCAGTTCACTCGGACGAGTGGCTGGGCCTTCCAGGTGGGATGGTAGGGGAAGTCCACCTCCCTCGGTCTGCCCCGCGAGGCTGCGGTGCGCCCGTTCACCGCCAGCTCCCGCATGCCACCCAGACCAAAAGAGTCCAGGAAGTGGAGGAGGTAAGGCAAATGCACCTGGAAACAAATCGGTTTCTGGAATAGAATGCGCCACCTTTTCAAATCGATTCCCCCTAAAAAAAGGTAAGGCAGATGCAATCCGGACCAGGAAATACAGCGCCCCCCCACCTCAAAGGGCTGGAAGGACGTGGACATCACAGCGCCTGAAAACAATGCATCGTGCTTGAGGCAAGCACTTGGGTCGCAAGCCATATCAATGGCATAGGATGCGATTCAAATATGTGGGATCCATAGGCCCGGCTAACATCCGAATTCGGATAACTGCTCTGGGGGGCCTACTGTGTTGTCTCTCCTGAGACCACTGCCGGGTGGCCCCATCCATGATTTGGGCCGACCATAGAAAAAGTTAGATTATCTGGTTGAAAGGGAACATGACACGGCACCCAAAAGGCAAACTGTTGGATAGAACAGTATGTCAGTATGTCTGCCCATAGCAGTAGGTCTGGTTTGGATTGCAGTGCCTAATGAATAGTACTTGGAATGCTTCTACCAAACCTCAGTTCTGCGACTTAGGCAGAGGAAAAAGACATGGCAGAACGCAATGTGAGACGCATCCTCCAGTTGTCTTGACACCCCGACTGGGTTCTGGCCAGCATTCATGCCCCGTGACCCTGGAATGACAGGGAGGCCTTAAGGGCGCGAGACCAATCCATCTGGGCTCAATAGACGACCTCCCAAAGGCTGAAGCTTGCTGGTGGTTCCCCCTCCGCACATGTCGAGATCCTGTCCAAAACGGGGTCTGTATTTTTTGGACACTTGCCCCATGAGGAAACCACGGCCATCCACGGCCCATTTAGCGGCAAACATGAAGCAAGTCAAAGCATACCCTGCTTCAGATTCACAATGGAACCCTAGTAATCATCATGTCTGGCATCCATTTTTGTGAAATGGGGCCCCTTTTCAGTTCCAGCAACCCGGTTGCTTTGCAGACTAGACCAAGCTTCCTAGGACCACTTTGGCTAAAGCGCGGCCACCGCGCCTTGCTGCAGCAAATGGGCCATGACGCTGGCGTGCTGCGGCAGGGTCGCCCAGATCTGCAGGAAGTCGCCGGTGCCGCCGTGGCCATAGATGGAGGTCCAGCCCACCACGCGGCGGATGTCATAGACATACCTCGGCCCCAACAATGGGCTTGAAGTGTAAAGGGAAACCAAACCAAACCCGCCATCTTTGAGAGAAACCCGGGATGAGTTGATGAGTTCGGGAGCTTTTCCTCTTTGGGCTGGATACTCTGCCGGTGTGGTGCTGCGACACGAAAGACATGAGCCAAGAGGAAGCCGAGCAATTCCGGAGGTCCGCTTTGAGTTTCAGGTGAAAGGGCACCAAACGCGGAAAACTGCAACACGTCCCAAACTGGTCTGCGCGAATAAGCAAGCTCGCTTGTGGCTAAAGCACACACCTGGCTGACCCTCTGATGTGTGGGTTTCACCAATCAATATATTCTCGATCACTAGTAATGACTGTCATGAGTGAACACAAAACACATCCTAGAGAAGCTGATGAGTGCAGAAAACAAACAGCTAAACGTCTTCATTCAAAGGCGAGGCTGACCCACGTATTGGAGGAGCGCTTGGTCCAGATTCTTGAGATATTGCAGCAGCGGCTTTTTGCCCTGGCAAATAGAGGATCCCTAATACTTCAAGCGGTGGGTTGCCTAAAGAGGGGCCAGTTCCAATTTCGAGCTGATCAACACCTAGGTGGGCTGAATAGTGCAATGGCTGAGGCTAACGATCCCATCAGCTAGGTGATCGGCAGTACAATGTCTGAGGTTCACCAGTCCCCTGACAAAGGGAAGCCCTCAACGAGGATTTCTCCGGATCCAACTTCCAACTGCCAGTCATGGCCCGGTCCACTGAGACCTCCGGCACCGCGCCGGGCCGTCCCAGCCCGGACCTCGGAGACATGGCCAGCGAGCTGAAGCTGGGGACCGCTACTTTGTTGAGAGTTGGCGTGTGTATATGATGTATATATATATAGATATAATATGTGTGCAATAGAGGCGCAATAGTTGGATGACTTTTAAAATGCACACTTTTAAGCCACGCAAATCCTGCGTCCCAGGTTTTATGGAAGTGGTACTCTTGGGGTACAGGGAAGCAGAAAGGAAATCACCCAATTGGGAGTTGATATCTTATTTCGAGAAATATCGGGTGTCCTTCAAGGGGCCAGTCCCATTCCCCCAGTTCGCAACTGATCAAATTTCCTAGGTGCGCCTTCCCCCTGCTTAGTGAAATTGTGGCTTCTCTTGATCACCTAATATTACAATATAGTGGTAGCTCAAAGCCAGGGAATTGCAGGCTCATCCCGTTGCAAAAGCCAGACATTGCACAGCATCTGAGGCCCCAACGCGCTTTGGTGCAAGTGCATGGCCTGCACAAAGCGGCATGATCCGTTTTTTGTTGTTGTTGTTTTTTCTGCGGGACCGGCCAGCTTGACATCCTAGCAGGGCACTTCTCCCTCTCAGTCAGCCGTCTTCGGCTCTGTATAGATGCTGTTTCGTATTACTCGGTAGCACCATGGGCAATCTGGTCATCTACCAAGAGTGACTGCTGTCCCAGCAGAACCAAGTTTTCAAGCTATGATGGCTCACCAGAATCGCCGTGGCTTGATATCATGGGGAGCTTATCTCAGCTCTGGCTTCGCTTTTGAGCGAGCAAGCCTAGTATGCGTGTATAGATTCATATATATATATATATATATTCACGTACATGAATAATTATGCAAGTAGAGCAAATATCGAAGCATAAGGATCCACCAACCTGAAATGAAGGCTCCAAGGGAGGCACCCGCATCGGTTGCTTGCTCCTGAGCCTCAAAATGGGACCCTTTTTTGGTGAGAGCTCTTCACTGAGCATGACTGGAAAGTAGCCTTTCTGCCATCGCTTGATTCCCATCCTACAGGGTTCCCCCAAAAACCCTTGCAAAAGGGGCAACACCCCACCCCGCCCAATCCTCACATGAATCCCCGAAAATATACGTACTAGTAGCAAAATACTGGGAGGGAGTCCTTTTGGTTTGCCCTTGGTTTTCTTTAGGCGCTCCTGCGAAACCCCAGGCATCCAGCGACCCAAGTGCTAGCTTTGCTGCTTTCCAATGGCCATTAGGCTAGTTTACTTCCTGCAACTGCTGTCTTTGTGCTGGTGAAAGGGCGAAATGGCGCAAACCGGGCAAACAGTAGCTGGACCACTCTTGACACGCTGTTCAACAAAAATAAAACCGCTAAAACAAGAGTCAAAAGGCAACCAAGAGGAGACCTTTGGAAAACCCTTCAATGGAACAAGCAATAGAACACCAATGCACAAAAGAAAATCACCAATAGCACGTCCGACAGAGAGCCTTCTCGAGGCCCTCTGCCAGCAAGCCAAGGAAGCCCTGCGCAAACGCTGAACATGTGGGGGGCTTCGTCAAGTGGTTCTCCTTCTGATTTCCCTTGAAAGCAAGGTGAAACGGGTACCCATGGCACCCTCAAAGAACACCGGCGCCCATGTGGGGGTTCCAAATCAGGGCCCGTCTTTGGTAGCCCCCTTCCACAGGCGGCACTTTGGGCAGCGGGGTCCAGTCGTTCGAGGTGCTTGCACCGGATTGCTAAGCAACAAGCCGGACAAGACAGCACTATGGTTCCCTTGAAGGTAGAAACTGTACGACAATGAGTGTCTAATATCCCTGTCAGGGTGTCTACCGTACTGGAAGGTTTAGGGTAATGTCTTGCAATAAGATGATTACAATATAGAGACAAACTGTTCAATCTTGGCAGTTTGTTCTATTTCAAGACAAACCTGTGACGTCGACAGGATGAGGGTCCTTTCGAGGAGTTCCCTATGTTTCCCAAGCTCAACGTTGGTCTATCGAATGGCATCCAAGGGAGTGTGTGATTTCGAGCCAATCGTGGCTGCTGCAGGGTCCCTGTGCTTCTCCCTGAAACCTCACCCCACCAAAAGGAAGTTCATCCAAAATTGGCAACCAACCAAGTGCTTGGCGGTTTGGATTGCTGACTTTGGAGGCTATCTGCCCACTTGCTGTTGTCAACAAGGGGTGAAAATACCCGCACCACCGAGCCAAACCACCAATGAAGGGCTGAATATTTAAGCTGGCTTCAAGGGAATTCTAGATTCTCCGCACCTGGCCTCTCCTTCGGCATCGCTTCGGCCAGGAGGTACCTGAGCCAAGGTGGCACAGCACTATGCCCAAAGGCAAGACATGAGCGTCATGGTGACCCACCAAACGGGGTGCCGTTTTTCCACTTTTTGGTGGTTCCCCAAAATGGTTGCGGTTTCTCAAAATGGCGAGTTCTTCTGACTTTCCTTCAAGCCCACTGGCTGCTACGCCTGGATGTAGAAGAAAGGGAACACCCCGTGCACGTGAACACCTCAGATCAAATGTGGCTTATGCCGCACGCCTGCTGCCTGGACAACCAGAGCAGCAAACAGAAGGGTTTAGCAAGACTGCCATCATCTTTCAAGGGCCTCCTGTCCAATTCCATGATGTCACATTGTTGCATTGCTGACAGTCTCCATCTTCAGACAAGTTGCACGCCGACTGCCCAGTTGGAGTATGACCAAACACGCGCACAACCTCAGCGCAGGCTGGTTCATTGATCAGCAGGTATGAAGCAGCAAGCCTAGCCTGGGCTAGCTTGAACATGTTTGGGCCGCTGCTTTAGCGGCCTCCGTTGGTTTCTTCAAAAGCTTCCATTTGCTTAAACCCCCTGCAAAAAAATAACAATATTTCCAGTAGCGATAGATGTCCTTTAAAACCAACAGGGGAAAAAACAAATATTCTTGAGCAAATGGAAGAAAGGGTCGAGGGTGGCAAGGTCGTTGAAACCAATGTTGCAACGAACCCTAGTCCGATTGTCTTTGCTTGCAGTATTCTAGATGCCAGCAGCATGCCATCTCTCATTGGCCATCCGGCTAAGCACCACACCGGCACTTGCCTGAGCGCTCCACCTGATGATTCACGGCTGAAACACACATCATTTCAACATCAACGTTGCCATTCCAACGTTAACGTTGCTTCACAGGCTCGTGCTTGTGTCTATCTGTTTCCCTACCAATCTGCTTGCGCTTTCTCCACATGAGTGCTCGCTAAGCTTTTTCCCGTTTGTTGCTCTACAGCAGTTGGTTTGTGTCACTTGATGCGCGCATATGCGCGCGGCCGTCTCCTCAGCTGTCAATTGCTCAGCTGAGTCGACGCTTGAAGTTGAAGCTCGCAGCTAGCCATTGATAGCCATTGGCTGCGCTGTTGTAGTGTCCTTGTTCAGTCTGTCTGCTGCACTCAAATGTCTGCTGCAATCACATGGTGACCTTTGGGTGGACATCATGTTCATAACTATCTTGAAGATGTCTTTGCAATAAAACTCATATCTGGATGGGCCTTGCATAAAGCAGTCTTGTCGGAAAAGCCTTAGAATCCTGGACTTTCGCCGAGCAGCCTGGCACTGGGATGTTTCCGCAAGAGCGCGAGCCTCTTCGTTGGATGGTTGCTTTCCCCCAACAAGAACTTATTTCAAGTTGGTCTTTCCAAAAGGTGACATTAAAACCCGCTTTTGGGAAATACAGGTGGATGCCGGCCTTGTCTCAATTGCCCACGTTCAAGGGTCCCTCTCTCTCATCCCAACCAGCCCTTTTCGTTTTGCCGGGCTCTTTCGTTTTAAAAGGGCATCTAAGGCCCTTGGGGTCCCCTTTATGACGGTTCCTACTAATTTGAATCACTACCGCCAGGAAACCATCCCAAACAATCGGCTTTTTCATAACTGGAAGTCGCAATCCAGGCAACCCTGGTGTCGCTGTTTTGGGGCTTCCCAAAGGCACCTGGCGGGTTCCATCTTACTTGGTGTGACAAGAGGCAGTGGAAACGAGTGAGAACCAGCGCAGCGCCTGTGCAGATGGAGGTCGTGGGATCGCCAGGACCCGGCCTCTGGGGAAAGATGTCTGTGGGCATCGCTTATAGACAAGAAGTACAGAATGTACAGAAAGTCAGGAAAGGACTGCCTTTGAACAAGCCACACTTGCGCTAACTGCATGAGACCGACCGCATCTTGAAACACATAAGCAACACTTGCACGCGCACGCACAAGCACGAACACACACACACACACAGACACACAGACACACAAAGACACACAGAGACACACACAGACACACAGACAAACACACACAGAGACACACAGAGACACACAGAGACACACAGAGACACACACAGACACACACACAGACACACACAAACACACACAGACAAGCACACAAGCACACAAGCACACAAGCACACAAGCACACACAAACACACACAGACAAGCACACAAGCACAAAAGCACACAAGCACACAAGCACACAAGCACACAAGCACAAAAGCACACAAGCACACAAGCACACAAGCACACAAGCACACACACACACAAGCACACAAGCACACAAGCACACAAGCACACAAGCACACAAGCACACAAGCACACAAGCACACAAGCACACAAGCACACAAGCACACACCCACACACACCCACCCACACACGCACACACACACACACACACCCACCCACACACGCACACGCACACGCACACGCACACGCACACGCACACGCACACGCACACGCACACGCACACGCACACGCACACGCACACGCACACGCACACGGACACGGACACGCGCACGCGCACGCGCACGCGCACGCGCACGCGCACGCGCACGCGCACGCGCACGCACACGCACACGCACACGCACACGCACACACACACACACACTAAAAGAAAACACGCACACCCAGTCACACCCTTTGCTGTGTTTCCAAACCTTGAGGAATGCTTTCTGGGATTTTGAACGCAGGAGTAAGGGCGCTGGCAAGATCTGTTTACTCCGAGAATTTGCGGCCTGCAACTCACATCGCTTCGCGCTTCCTGGGTTCCCCGGCTTGGCGAGGTAGAAGTCTAAGGTCACAATCACCACCTCAAGATTTGGCGACAAGCGCAAACCGTCTAATTTGGCAAGGCCCTTGATCGATCCCCAAATCGAGCAAAAAGCCTAATTAGCGGGAAACCCTACGTGGCTCAAGTTGATCGTCTCATGAGTCTCATGCCTATGCGCATGCCACTTAAAACGTGACCGAGCCAAGGCTGGGGGCAGGGCTGTCAAAGGCCGTTCTTGACCTGCAGAACGGCACGATTCAATGGCGAAATGGCTCTTTTTCACAGCTGGGGCGATCATGTATCCCTACCTCAAACTGAATGTGCTTTGGAGCCTTCGGATCCACACCAACACTCTCACAACACTATCAAACATGGATTCCTCTTTTCGTAGCAAAACATTATGTGGTTGGAGTTGCGTGTCAGCACCTGAATGCAGCTGGCTGCCTTCTTCGCCATCCATCGCAAAGGGAGGCCATCACTGCCGTAACGCCACCCCTTCAAAGAGGCAGAGCTCGGCAAGACACACGACAACCCACGCTACATTAAATCCTCGGGGAAAAAGCAGCTACGTATCTCAGGTTTCCAAAGCATGTCATGACAACGAATACTTTGAAAAGCACTGGGCCACACGCACACAAACACCAATTATGATCACTTGGAAGCAACACCGGCTACCCCAAGTGTCGGAAGATTTCAGTCAATGTTGCTGATCTCAGGTGCAAGATGGAATGAGCAGGGGTGGGCTCTATGAGCAAACATCCCTGGCGGCAGAGTGTGCTGCAATTAATCCCTTCGAGCCAGCTTCCCCGTAGCATGCCTCCGCTTCAGCAGCCAGGGCCATGCGGCAAACCCAAACAAAACCCAAAGGAAAACCCAACCTGGTGAACAAAGGAGACCCGTGTCGGATGTTCCGGCCGTTGGAGACAGGTCCATGAAAGCACAGATGAGGATCCCTTCAGGGGTCCGGGGTCATGGAAAGAAAGGTCCAGCAAGAGAGCTGCGCATCATCCCTGGCACAGTTGCACCCGCTTGAAAACAGCCTTCTTCTGTTCATGAGGCGTGCGTAAGCCTCAGCACATGCTTTTTAACTCCAAAGCCCATGGTTCATCCATGGAACACTTGGACTGGTGAGACAAAAATGCGATTTGGCACGCCAACAAACAACAACAAAACAACAGCGCTCACCCCCCCTCCAAATAGCCAAGTAAATGTTTCGGGAAGATGATGTCATTCATCCCTTGACCTACAACCAAGGCGTATAACGTAACAAAACAGCTACTTGGAGTAAGGGAAATTGATCTCTCAAAGCTGACTGCTTGCAGCACCAGCATCACGGCAGTGCATCTTCTATTGCATCCGATGTGTCCCCGATTATGAACCATTGCCAGCGCTTTGTTCGTAACCAATTAATGGGGTGTCACAAAAGGGTCTACAAAAAAGACCATGCTATTTTGGGCAAGCCTGTGGCAAAGGCCAAGCAATTCCACTGGCCGGCCCGCAACGCCAATCACTCTCGGGAACCTGAGGCATGTACGTGCATTTGATGGCACTCAATTTGCATGCCTGACTTGGTGGTCTGGATGCTTCGGGGTTGTTCTACCAGGGGATTTCAGAAATAGCAACGATGAGGTTTTCTGAAGCTGTACTCCTGCGAATCTGAGGCTTCAAATCTGACATGAACATGTTGCCCGCCTAAGGTCACGGGCTTTTCACTCTTCTTCCTCGCAGGCGTGCAGCAAGCCACGATCCAAACTGAGTTTGAACCCCTTTTTTACCCCGTAAGGCGGTGCTAAAGGAAGCCAGGATCTGCCAACAAGGCCAGCCAAAATGCAAAAGAGACATTGCGAGATGCCACATTGCGCACCCTGTTGACAAAATACTGGACAGCTTGAATAGCATGTTTTGCTCGACTGTGGCCAGCTGCCTGAGGACAGCTTCCAAATCAGCGGCGACGAGTGCTCAGGGATGCGAATGCCAATCTTTCTGTCAATTTTGCGGACCAGGCAGAACAAGGCCGGATGGGCGTCAGCTTGAAATTGTCCATTCTGGAGTTTAACTTGTTTAGATACGGGGGTGTCCAAAACTGGTTGAAGGGAAACCACAAACACCCAAGTCACCCATCTTCCAGGTCCCCCTATTTGAGAGAATCACGCGGACAGTGGGGCCATCCTGCCTTCCAGCATTGCATTCCTTGGCAGCGTCCACGATCCTTTGCGTGCATTCCTGCAAGACCTGGACGGAAAGCCAAGGGCGGCCCTTGTGAGCATTCAACAGAAATCCCTGAGTTCCCCAACAGCTTTGGGCGTCCAAAAGAAGGAGCTTTCAGCACGTTTGAAGGGGGTCTCTGGTGAAAGCCGGGGGCAAGGCAAGGAAGCCAAAGGGTATGTTTGGCTTGTCCCATACTCAGCCCATGCAAGCCTCACTCCCAGGAGTATGTCCAAAGGCATTGATCCGTCTTGCAAGCAAGCGTCGCCTTTCCCGAAAAGTGTCGAAATACGACATGATGGTAAACTTCAAAGGTGTATCGTGTGTTTAGACACATTTAACTGGACAATTAAGACCATGACAGTTCGGATTCAAGCAGCCTCGCGACGCGTGTCTTCCTTGATGAGCAGCTTGCATTGGCTGACCTCGAATGCGCAGATTGCAAATCATAGGCAGAACTGTACAAAGTGGCGTCTGCTCCTTTGCTTCCGTGCTTTTGATATGTTGTATGATCCTTGAGTGCAATATGTTGTCCGTCACCCAGTGGACGTATAACAATGCTTCGAAAGAAGCATCTGCTTTGAATCAATTCAGGCTTCTCAAAGCATCCTGGGTTGTTCAATGTGAAGGCTTAGCCAATGCTAGTGCCTTCATCAAGCCCCAACGGAAACTTGCGATAAACGGGGTTCAGAACTGCCTCTGAAAAGGATGGCGACTGCCCGCCCCCAAAAAAGGCGTTCTAACTTCGTTCAAGTATGCCCTTCGCTGCCATCAGCCGGATGGCCGCCATTTTTGGCTGCTAGTTGAAGAGAATCCAGGCGCCCCGCCTCCTTCTTGAGCTTCTGGTAGGGGTGGACCTCCAAGCCATGGCTGCACGCATCTGATCCCAAAGAGTTGACGTGCCATACGTGCCGCTCGAAAGGACAGGGCATGACACGCTCACTGAGGGCAAAACACCCTTGAAGTCGTCGTTGGCTTCATCCAAATACCTACAGTCTGCTCGCTAGCATTCGGACAAGGTCAGGACACCAATCGAAGAGGAATCTCCTTTGGGATTGTACCTGTTTTGGGGTTCCTTGTGTCATTCCAATGCGAACAACTTTTGGGGGCTCACCGACACGCAATAAGAAGGCGCACCTTTGCTGGTGTAGAACGGAGATGTGTCGAAATAGGGCGCCCCTAGAAATGTATGTGTTCTTTTGGTTTGCCTTTGAACAAATCAAACAACAAAGATGCCGCAAAAAACACAGACACACACACACACCCAAAACAACACACTCACATGCAAAGATATGCTCGAGGTCAGCGCTGGGTTCCCGGACGTCTCCCAGCACTTGTGCTCCATGTCCAGCCACAGCTGCTTCAGCTTGGGACCTGCCCACTCAAAAAATGACCTCCTAGGCGAATGGGAAACACATGCCCTGTGACAAAATGCTGAAGCGGAAACTGCCATGTATACATTCCACTTGCTTTAACAAAGGCAAACACAAATCACATCCACACACCCACACCCTCCACACACACACACACACTCCCTCACATCCACACACCCACACTCGCACTCTCATCCACAAACACACACACAGACACACACAGACACACACAGACACACACAGACACACACAGACACACACACACACAGACACACACAGACACACACAGACACACACACAGACACACACAGACACACACAGACACACACAGACAGACACACACACAGACATACACAGACACACACAGACACACACACACACACACACACAAACACACACACACACACACACACAAAAACACCCAGGCACACAGACACCGAAACACACACACACACAAAAACACACAGGCACACAGACAAAGAAACACACAAACACACACACACACACAGACACACACACACACACACACACACACACACACACAAGCACACAAGCACACAAGCACACAAGCACACAAGCACACACACACACACACACACACACGCACGCACGCACAAACACACAAACACACAAACACACAAACACACAAACACACAAACACACAAACACACAAACACACAAACACACAAACACACAAACACACAAACACACAAACACACAAACACACAAACACACAAACACACAAACACACAAACACACAAACACACAAACACACAAACACACAAACACACAAACACACAAACACACAAACACACAAACACACAAACACACAAACACACAAACACACAAACACACAAACACACAAACACACAAACACACAAACACACAAACACACAAACACACAAACACACAAACACACAAACACACAAACACACAAACACACAAACACACAAACACACAAGCACACAAGCACACAAACACAAGCACACAAGCACACAAGCACACAAGCACACAAGCACACAAGCACACAAGCACACAAGCACACAAGCACACAAGCACACAAGCACACAAGCACACAAGCACACAAGCACACAAGCACACACAAGCACACAGCACACACAGCACACAAGCACACAAGCACACAAGCACACAAGCACACAAGCACACAAGCACACAAGCACACAAGCACACAAGCACACAAGCACACAAGCACACAAGCACACAAGCACACACACACACACACAGCACACACAGCACACACAGCACACAAGCACACACAGCACACACAGCACACACAGCACACACAGCACACACAGACACACACACACACACACACACTGACACAGACACAGACACACAGACACACACAGACACACACAGACAGACACACACAGACACACACAGAACACACAGCACACACACAGCAAACACAGAAACACAGAAACACAGAAACACAGAAACACAGAAACACAGAAACACAGAAACACAGAAACACAGAAACACAGAAACACAGAAACACAGAAACACAGAAACACAGAAACACAGAAACACAGAAACACAGAAACACAGAAACACACAAACACACAAACACACACACACACCGACACACAGACACACCGACACATAGACACACTGACACAGACACAAAACACACACACACACAGACGTGCAAACAGACCATACCAGACCAGACCAGACCAGACCAGGACCAGACCAGACTAGACCAGACAGACAGACAGAGAGACAGAGAGACAAAGAGACAGAGAGACAGAGAGACAGACAGACAGACAGACAGACAGACAGACAGACAGACAGACAGAGAGCCAGGCATGCAGACTGACAGACAGGCAGACAGAGAGACAGAGTGACACAGAGAGACACAGAGAGACAGAAAGACAAAGAGACAGAGAGATAAACAGAGACAGAAAGAGACAGGCACAAAGACAGAGACAGAGAGACGGAGAGACAGAAAGACAAAGAGACAGAGAGATAAACAGAGACAGAAAGAGACAGGCACAAAGACAGAGACAGAGAGACGGAGAGACAGAGAGACAGAAAGAGACAGACAGAGACAGACACAAATACAGAGACAAAGACAGAAACAGAGAGAGAAAGAGAGAGAGACAGACACAGACACCAACAGAGACAGAGACATAGACAGACACAGAGACACACACACTGAGAGACACCTACACACACACACACATGGACACACCCACGCACGAACGCACGCACACACGCACGCACGGACGCGCGCAATCACGAGCACGCGCACACGCCATGCACGCATACGCCATGACCGAACGCATGCACGCACACGCACGCGGGCGCACGCAAGCACGCACACTCGCGCCTCCGCAAGCAAAGTGCGCCCGCCAGCAGGCACGCAAGCACGCACTCTCACGCGCACACGTACATACACGCACACGCGCACGCACACGCACCCCCACCTACACATGTCACGTGCGAGAATTTGTACTCCTATCTTCTGGGGGCAGAAAGCCTAATGAACTTGGTAACCGTTTCGGGTGAAAATTGCCCAAACAACCTTGTCAGCCCTGAACCAACCCCCTTTCAAGTCACCAAATTTGCACATCCACCGAGTCTTGCAAATGAGATCTTTGCCGTCTTCGCCCTGGCAGCCATTCCCTGTGACCCCTTTTTCAGAATTGATCAACAAATAACAAATAGTTGTTCTTGCACCGGCGCACCCTGCGAGCCCTGGCATTAAATCCACCCATTAATATCCTTGCTCCAGCCAAAATGGAAGCTGACAAGCCCACTGACGTGAAACCTGGGGGGGCCCCTTTTAAAGCAAAATGCTCTCTCTACCAATCCCCGGTGAGGTTCCATGTATGTGGATGGAAGGGTGCTTTGGGGAAGACCCCGAAACGCACTTCCATGATTGTCGGAATGAACTCCCGTGAGCCTTCCCATGTAGTATCCACACGTGCCTGAGCTCGTCTCAGATTTTGGCCAAGCGCCGCACGCGCAACGCACTGAATGCACATGCAAATTCATGCGAATTCGCACATAAACCAGCTGCACCCGCTTCTACAAAAAATCAGTAGACACGTGGCAAAACAAGGTGCTTTGCTCAATCTCGGTAGGAGATCGTCGCGGGGTTCTTAGACATGAATGATGCAACTTCAGTTCCATAATGGAAACCGCATGCCGCTATGGTGGGTGTCGAGAAACACAGATGCCCTCGGTACAGCACGTGGATAAACATGCATCATCCCTTTGGGTCTGTTGTAGGGCACACTGAACCCGGCATACACGGCGCCTCGTACGTGGGCCTCATGTTGGCAATGGAGGTTGCGAACAGAAAGGACGCCATGGCTTCCAGACGGTGCACAAAAGACAATGCGACAGACTGCGGTGGTTGATGTCACGTTGCTTTTTTGAAGCAGGCTGGTGATGTTTGGAAGGCGAAATACAAACCTGAGACTGATGCTTGTCTACAAGAGGCTTCATGTCAGCCAAGATTTGCTGCATCACTCCGACTCAAACATGTACTGCGTGCCGTTTGCCGATGAAGCGAGGGTGCCCATGTGCAAAAGGTGTCTCTTGCACAATGGAATTGTTTCTGGGTCATTTACTTACATTGGCACGGGAATACAGAGCGCAGTTGCCAAGCATCGCTTTTGGCAGGCACTGACAATGTGTCAACTTACTTGCCAATGGCTTCATTGGAGGACCCTTTGACCTGGGGTGTATGCACAAAGCTGATCATGATCCAGTCCACTCATAAACTAGGCGCTGCATAATGTAACGACCACACCATGTCATGTCGAGCTGTGTGCATCTTTGGATGCTCCTTTGTCTGTGTCTTCGTTTTATCTTAAGGTGACACTAGCAAGACACACATCAACCAACAGAGAAAAGAAAGAAACGTCTGATAGCAGCACGCCCATACTGGGCCTGGCAATTTCTGCTTAGAGGGAGCCTTCTTTCTCATATAAAGAAACACCAATGTGCTGTTGTGTTTCTCCACTAGCACCAAATGCTAGGAAAGTCGATCACGTGGAGCTGGCCAAACACATTGCCAGATTTGCCACCAAATGGCAAACAACATAGCAGAGTTCATCGCAAGCAGTGCTGGATTCAACCCTTGCTCAACCATGTTGGACAACAAGCATGCCATAATGGACACTAGATGCTCAATCCAGAATAACCCTGAGCTTGCCTTATAAACGGATCTTGTCCCAAAATTCTGCATGCATGGCTTACCACCTCGAATTGACTCTTTAGTGTCCTCGGATGTGCCTAACAGGATATTGTGTGCGTGAGGCTGGGACGGTTTTGGACTTTCTGCATTCAGTACCATCATTCTCTCTGCAAGCCGTTCCTTCGACTTGCTTGCAGAAGACTATGGATATGGGGACCGCTCAAGTCTCAAAAGCTGGCTACGAACTTGTTGCGCAGCCTGATCACTAGTGACTACTGACGTCTCAAACAGTCACCTGCTGAGGCCAAAAGACGTTAAATGGCACCAGCTCGATGGGTCCCAGAGATTTAATCTGCTGCTTGCCGATGTGCTGGCAGGCACGCGTCAAGCCCAAGCCCCGCATAATCTCGCCAAGCTGGTTCCACGCTTCATCCTCCTCTGACAAGTTTGTTCTAAAGCTGATTTGTCTCAAATGAAGGAATTCCAGACACCAAACGTGACCAGCTCACTAATGTTTGAGGAATCGCCGAGCCGGTTTCAAGGGAAACACATCCTTGCCTTCTGGTTTAAAGTCCCAGACGCCCATGGAAACAAAAGGGCGCCCTTTGCCAGAGGGCAAGTCGGAAGAGATTTCAACAGGAAGGGACCGCGAACTGGGAATCCATCTTCCTTAGGATTGGGCCCACAATTCATTCTTCCCAGAAGGCAAAATGGAATGAAGATCTCAGGCCACCCGCCCTCCCCCTATTCCAAGGTGGGAGTTTGATGGTTTTAAGTAAATGGGCAGGGTTCGGGCTGCACGCAAGTTGCTATTTCCAAGGGCATCAGCTTGAAAGGACCTCTTGTTTGAGGGGTTGGGAATCGCTGGGGCCCCCCACCAAAGGACCCTTTTGCAAACGGTCCTTGACGCAAGTGGGTCCCACCACGCAATCCAGGGCTGTGGTCTCTTTGCCCCTGTTCCGCCGGAACCGCAGTGTGACGCGGGCGGCCAAACCTCCGCAGTCGGGATGAGGGGTGTGGGGTGTGTGGGTGTGTGTGTGTGTGGGGGGTGTGGGGGGTGTGTCGGGGAGGCCGTGGTGTTAGTCAGCCAAAAAACACGTCCGCTTGGTTTGCCAAATTACATGCAATCCAGTTTCTACAAACGCCCAACCCTCTGAAAAAGCCCGGTTTTCGCAAACTCGCCAAACCGGCACAAGAAAACACAGGGATGATACCTTTAGGATTGCTGGCGTCAAAGCAAGAACGGTTGGCCAACACAAATGGGTCCAACTCCAAGCCGTGCTGCACCTCACGCGTTGCCTTTGTTCAAGTTGTAGTCGGGCCAGACTCGGTTTCTACATCGTTGAGTTCATGTTGGCCAGAATGGGAATGTGTCAAAAGGAACTTCCCAAATGCGGATTTGTTCTTGGTTCCAAACTCATCGTTCCATGGGGCCCTTGACTAGGCCCTTGACACGTTCTGGCCTTTGGCTAGCTGGAAGAAGCTTGGCAAGGCCCATGGCCACAGATCGGGATGCAAACCATGTGGCCACTTTTGCACACACTGGGGTCTAAAAACACACGCCTTTTCAAGACACAGCAGGACACCGGAATATTCTGGAAGACCAACTCGTAGCCCAGAGGTCACTGGAACTGTTCCTTCAAAGCTCTTCGTTACTGTCACACATCCCGTGGTTTCCTTCGGTTTTGGCTTTTTTTCTGAAGCGAACTGTCTCCGAATAGAATGGGGAGGATTGGGGAGAGTGCAGCTAGAAAAGTCTGCTGAGTTAAGGCCCCACTGAAACAAACGCTGCACCTGAAGGTCCAAGGTCGGTTCCGAAACCTTCTTAGTCAACTTTGCTTAAGCTAATTCTCGTTGTCGTGCGTGTGGTTCAATTTGGCTCAGTTGGAGTGTGCGTCAAATCAACATATCGTCCCAGTTGCAAACCTCCCCACATGTTTGCCGCGACTTCATGCTGTGAATGAGTGTGGAGCAAACATCCATATATATATATATATATATATATATCTAAAGACCGAGCTCGGGTCTCTGGGTCCATCAAAGTGACATCCTCACAATTCCCTCTAAATGGTGATTTAGCTCAATTGGAGGCAACCCCCAAAAAGTATTGGTTTGAGAACCCCTTCAACATGCCACCACGTTCAGTCTTCAGCTGTCCGAGCGTCTGATCAGACCCCCGAACTCCGGTTTCTTTGGGGCTTCCGCGCCTTTACCGCTCTGCAGCCAGGGGTAGAGAGCCTTGGTGGTCGTCTCGGGATCCAGCCACTTCTCCACGAAGAGCTCGACGTTCAGCAGGCGCAGCCCACACCCGCCCAGGCAGTTGTCAATTGACACCAGGGAGGAAAACACAATGGGCACCTAGAGTCCAATGGCAAGTCGCAAAGCTTTCAAAACATCGCAACATTGACCCCCTAGTCAATATTGGCCTGCAATGGCTCTACTTTTGGCTGTGAATCAGTATGTCACCCTGATGTCCATTGCATCCTAGGATTGCATTCGGACATGACTCAACCCCAGCCGCCGACCAAAAACTCAGATCTGTCACGGGGCTCTTGACCTGCCATGAGGAAGTCAAGGGATCAACCCCTGAAACAAACCATCTTTTGATTTGGATAGATGAAGAGTCCCCCTAGAGTTCTACCCTTTGAGGGATCCCTTGGTTTTAGGGGTCCCATGATTCAGCACGAAAATCTCCCCAGCACCAGCGAAACATGAATTACGTTATTGCCTGGCTTCGACTTACCACGGCCAGGCATTTGACTCTCTGTTGGATGAGTGTAGGCACCTCCATAAATGTAGGGATCCCTCCAAGCGGTTTCCCAGATGCATCCTGCTGATTCGGAAGCACATCAAAACTGGACCAAACTTAAAGCCAGAGCACGATGGTCTGGATATCTGCTGCGGAGGACACAACCTCTTCATCCACTTTCCTGGGGCAAACGTAGAGACTTACCCACTACGCAAAAAACTAGCTGGTTTTGAGTTCTAGCCTTTTTCACGATAGAGTAGCTCATAAAAATAAAAATGAAAATGTCAGGGGTTGACCAAAAATGGGCGCATTGGATGTAGGGGGTAGAGCCCCGCAAACAGTTCCAGCTTCTTTTTGGTTGAATGCAACGAAGAAAAACCAACCGGCACCTTCTCAGGGCTATCGAATGTTCCCCTTGCCTGCCCTTGGCGATCTTGAGAACAATTCAAAAACCCTTGGAAGGTGCAAACTGTTTGTCTTCACGGCAACGAGTTAAAACAAAGGCACACTGTTAATGCAAACAAAAGGCACACGATCAAAAAGCAATCAGAAAAACAGCGCTTGAAAAGGCAAACATTTGGATTCGTGCTTCCTTCTTCGAGGGTACCTTGAAATTGATGGCTTTTCCTCCTGGTTTCCCTCTGAAACCGCGAGAAGGGAATACCCTGAACAAAAAAAGCCATACTCGTCAAACAAAAAGGTAAAGCTAAGTCATCGATGTGTCCTCTCGTTCCCCAGGAGCAAATCCATGGATCCCACATCGGACTTGAGGTCGATGAGTGCAGACCCGTCCGGCAGGGGGTTGGCCCACCATTGGTTCACATTGAAAGCGCTGACGTTGATCAAATAGAAAGGCGCGCCCTGACAGGCTCCCAACGAGCAACCTCAAGCTGGTTAAACAGTGTTTAAGCAATGGGGATGAAAACCGAGTTGAAAAAGCAACCTAGTTGAACAGTTGTGGTTGAACAGTTGTTTCTGTGCAACAATTGTTCAAACAATGGTCAACAGTTGTGGAACCAATGCTGCTGACACAAGAGCTGTTCAAGCAAATGTTAAAGCAATTGTTACAACTCCAGTTGTCCAAACAATGGAGCCAGTTGGTTAAAACAATCGCTGTTTCAACCTCGGCTTCAACAAGGGCCTGTGAAGCCTGCCAGAAGTCAAGGAGACTCTTCCGCTCCGACTTGTCGCCAAACAGCTCGTCAAGGTTCCTGGCATCCAAGACAGGGTTCTCTTCAAGTCCTGAAAAAGTGAAAGGCTAATTGGTCTATTCAATTTCAAGGTTATCTTGCTTGCTTCCAATTTTAGTCTTTGATTCATTCCTTTTCCAGAAGCGACAAAAGACAAATTGTCCAAAAGGTTAGGCGGTTTCGGTCGCGGGCAACCAAGGCACTTGGTCCACTTGGTCAGCTTGACCAAGCCGTTTTGCTTGAATCGAAGCTCAGCTTCCAAAATGATCCATTGGTCTCCATAGGACACATCGAAGAAGTCCCTTTCCCCATACTTCACCTCCAGCAACCTGGGCCCAAAGGATCCGCCGGAACATGTCCACTGCATGCTGAGGGCAAAACCCAGAAAACTCAAAACCGCATACAAAACGTCAACGCACAAAAAAGGGAAAAGCTACCAGCTAGAAGGGCAAAAGATAAAACACAAATTGAACATGACAAAAGATGTAAAACTCTTTGTGAAGTCTGGCAATGCAACCGGCCGGAACCTTTCTCCACAGCCAGGAGCTTCACAACGGTGTCAACGACCCAGGCTTCAGTGGCCCATCCATGACCTTTTGGTGGTCAAATTTATCAGGGCACCCCTTTGTAGGCTTGTTCAAACGGAAACCAAAAGGGAACACATCCACTTTTGGGCTTCCCCGTATTTTGACACATACCCGTACAGTAATATGCGACTACCATCAAGAACATGGAACACTTACCCGAGCTTTCGTGGGTGCACTCTGCAGCTCTTCCCCATTTGCGAACTATAGATTGTTGCCCCAGTTAACATGGAACCCAACAACAATACCTAGACCTCCATTCTGTGTAAAAGAAAGGTCCGTTTTTTCCCTCGGAAAGAACTGCTTTTTCACTTCTGCGAGCGCTGTGAATCTTGCGAATGCTTTTTCGCAATCATGGAAGCTTGGACAATTCTGCAAATTCTGCTCTCTTGAGTGTTTCGCTCGAAAAAGCACATGTTGCCGGTCAACAAGCGGATTTTGCCGGTCAAAAAGCGGATTTTCCTGCCTTTGAATACGCTGCCCGCTCCAGGAAAACTATGGAAGAAAGCAATAGGCTCCCAAAAAGCACTTTTGAATCGAAACGGCGGATGTGAAATGAAACGACAGGAAGTTGTGCTTTTTCAGCGAACGGCTGACATTTTACACATCGGATGTTCTGGGTATTGCTCATAGAGGAATCTCTTTTCCAGGCATCTCCTTCTGGGGTTCCATGTCTTGCAGGGATTGCTGGATTGACCTCGCCTGAAACCCGGATGTTGCCCCCCACAGTGATGGGGTCGTAGGCCGCGCGGTCCGCAAGCACCGAATTCTTGTTCCACAACGCTCGAGTGAGCTGCCCCCAAGTGATTCCCACCTTCACTCGCACCACATCTTCTGCTGGGTAGGACATGACTCCGGAGTAGTTCCTCGACATCTCCAACCCCTCTGCGGCCAAAAACCGCTCCATGCATTACTAAGGAGTGCCCCAAAAGGAGATTCCTCTAAAGGTTGTCATATTTTGAACATCCCACTCCGTCACTCGCTACCAAAAGCTGCAATCGAACAGCCAGCTTGACAGACACGCCATGCGACGGCTAAACATCGGAGGCGCTCTGCCACGACAATGGCCGGGCCCTGGACGAAGCGCTTCCCCAAGTAGAATCCCCAAGCCCCGCCAGCCGTGGTCGCATCCTGCTTTGCGGCTGCCTGGAGGCCAGGCACTTGCAAGCTCCAAAATCCCGTTTTAGTCGGTAACAACATGGTCGAAAGGGCAAAGTGTCACCATAGTCAGTAAACCTGATGCCCTACTGGTGATTCGGTGGCATCCATTGGAATACACTTGGCTTCTAGAAGCAGAATACCCTACCACAAACGTCTGGAAGACGTTGTTTTCCTACACGGGCCATGACTCTGGTGGGTTCCAGAGTAGTTGGAGTGCTATCATTCACCAACCGAAAATGACAAATGGACCTAGGGCTGCAAAAGGGAGGTCCAAGTATAGAACTTTGTTGTAGCATGCGTGTTCGCTGCATGTCTCCTTCAACCACTGTTTCAACAAGAAACCCTTAAACATTGCCCAGGTGATGTTTCAATCACCGGATGTCGGGATTCCAAAATTCTTAGGATCC